GTTGATAAGGGAGTTGATAGGGAGTTGACAAGGGAGTTGATTAAGGAGTTGACAAGGGAGTTGATAAGGGAGTTGATAAGGCAGTTGATAAGGAAGTTGATAAGGGAGTTGATAAGGGAGTTGATAAGGGAGTTGAGTTGATAAGGGAGTTGATAAGGGAGTTGATAAGGGAGTTGATAAAGGAGTTGATAAGGGAGTTGATAAGGGAGTTGAAAAGGGAGTTGAAAAGGGAGTTGATAAGGAAGCTCGTAGACAGAACATTCCGAAAATAATCTTTTGAGTTGACGCAGATTGCAAGGAGCTTGCAGCCTACAGAAAGGATGGCCGGAACAATGAAGCAAAGGCAGCAGCTCTCGCAAAAGCATCAGTAGCAGGCTTTCCCCAAATCGGCCGGGCGAAATATTCGCCGAAAACGAGACTTATCGAAAAATCGCTAAGCTTTTCGCCGATTTTGGAGGGTTCGTTTGAGAATGGCCGAAACGCTACCAAATGTTGATGCAAAGTGCGTTTTACGGACGAATGATGCTGCTGGAAGCATGACCGCTTGAGCTCTCTGCTTCTGTACTTGTAGTACTTGTGCGTTGAAGTCGTGTGACCCGTGTCCTTTAACCTCCTCTCAAACAAACATTAGCCATTAAGAAGATTGTTACTAGTAAAATACTACACTGCAACGATATTTTCGATATCTAGCAAAGCTGTATTTCCCATTATTGAAGCCAATATGCCAACTTCTCCTTTAGCCGATTTTCCAATATATTTCAATTTTGCTGCCGATTTTCGAACGAGCAGCTGATTTTGCAGCCGAATCTGATGTATTTCTTGAGCCGAGCAAAAAAATCGGGCAGATCTGGGAAAGCCTGATCAGATTCAGTAGTCCTGACTAGACTCAGCAGCAGCAGCAGCAGCAGTAGCTAGCATCTGCAGCAACAGCTTACGTGAACAAAAGGCAGTTGCCATCTTTTCTGAGCGAGATGCCATACGACGCAGTGCCAGAAGAACCTATTGCAGGATAATCGAAGAATTGGAGAAAAACATGGAAATTAATTTACCAACCACATATGCTTACAAACACATAACAGAGGTGAAAGGCTGTGTTAGCTGTAACTTAAGGGGGCAGCCTACCCATAAATTTCATATGGCATTCAATTGACCGTAACTTTGGTGTTTCTCGATGGATTTGAGTGAAATTTTGACCACACACTCCTGCCACTATGCTGGCCCTCAGGCCATGATTTACAAGTTCTTGCGCTTCAGTGACAGGCTTTCCAGGCCGGAAAAACTCAAATTTCCGGCATAGTGCCACGGTGTGCGAGCCACCCAGGAGCCAAACAAATGCATTTACAATTTTTTCACATTTCCGTGCCCATTCTGTCCGTGCGCAGGACCCAAACCTAAAACAAGTCCAGAAGCAGCCATGGGTGGTGGGGTAGGCCCCTCAACGTGGCCCTGGAATCTGTCACAACGGAACGAGTGGGCGTTCTCTCACAGACTCCCACAGACTCCCACAGACCCAAGTCAATTTTTTGAACTTTTTTTTGAATTTTTTTAGGTTTAGCACGTGCTACGAGGTCGTACCTTTGATACAACATCCAGTGCTGGGACGTCCACAGCAAGCCATTTCCACAGCGCTACACACCAAATCCAGGATACCCTCAGAAACCGGCAAAGACTACCACTCACGTTCCACTGCTGCCAAGTACTGAATCCTACCTGACTTCTTGACACGACTCAAACTTGCCAAAGTCACTAAATCAACGTCAACTACAATAATCAAGCCACATATCTGCAACGTCACGAGGGTGCTGGCAAAAGTCCTGCTGCACGGCGGCGGGCTTCGCTCGCCGCCGTGCAACCCAATACGTGGTTTTTAACGTGATTTTTTGGACTTTTTTGGACTTGGAGCAAATTTCTGCACACTTTCGCGTGTTTCCATGATACTGCAAGTTGCGCACGGTCTGCTCACATTCAAATACAGTGCTGCCAACAAATGACAGCGTGCAACAAAAAAATCTTTCCTTGCAAGGGCACATTTTCGGCCATAAGGCCACCCTTTGTTAATTCATTGTTTAACGTCCTTTTTTTTGCGAAAAGGTACGCGGGAGGGCGAAAAAAAACAAAAGCCCATTCCAAAAACTGGAAACCCCAATCAAACATTTTGACCAGTAAAGCATGTGATATATACAATATTTCTGGGTCTAACGGCACTTGCAGGCATAGAACAACACTCTTTGATGGTACATTGGAGCACATGCCTGATGAATCCAACAAAACAGGTACATAGCATGGAGTTAGCATGTCATGAATTCATTACATCTGGATTTTTACTAGGACACACACCGTACGATATTTAAAAGCCAACAAAAAAGGAAAAGAACACAAGACAAAGGCATGCCCGGGAGGCAAGATTATAAGTTTAAGGTCATGATCGGCACACTGTGAAACTACACAATCATGTATTTACAACTTCGCATATTATTGGTACTACTACTTTCTTGTTTTTTTTTCGGTCGGAGGCAAAAAGGTACGCGGGCGCGGACGTTAAACAACGAAAAAAGAAAGGGTGGCCTAACTCTTGAACGGCTGGTCAGATCGGGACACAATTTTCAGAGAATTTTCAGCTATTCATGCTCTTTCAACTGACGTAGCATTCAATATGAATTTAAAAAATTTCAGCGAATTTTTGGGTAGACTGCCACCTTAAAGTTTCACGCATCGGAGCGATCATCAGACAGCAGCACTACCTCGAGCTTCCTAGACCGGAAGACTCTCTTTATGCTCACAAACATAATGCGTAGAAACACGTTCATGTTCACATGTAGAAAAACTTGGCAAGGTGTCCACACATACCCGAACACACACACATACCCACACACATACACACACACACACACACACACACATGCCCATCGCGGAAGCGATGATAGCGAACAACTATGTTAGCCATAGCAACTTGTGCTGGGATTAGACCATTCAACAGCTTGCAACGCTGATGAATTGACCACCACTAATTTTAGCCTGGTATCCACCACATACATGTAGCTGGTTGAAGTGGCTTTTTCTGGCCAGTGAATCCCTATTTTTTCATTTTTCATGTTTCCATTTTTTTCTTTCTTTTTTTGACACACACGCCATACCACATACTCCGGCATACACTGCCTGTTGGTAACCACCCAGGAGAATGAAAGAAGAGCTAGGAGAATGAGAAGGAGAAGAAAGACGTGTGCGGTCATAATCGTCGGGAATTGAACCCGCAACCTCTCGATTGGAAATCGACTGCACATACCACTGCACCATATAGGACACACACACACATATACACGCACACACGCACACAGTCATGCAGCTTGTCAGAAAGCGAAGAAGGAAGAGAAACCCCGGCTATCTCCCAGCACCAGTACCTGATAGTGAAAGGCTTCTCGATGACCTAGCACCGCTGTTGTCGCTGGCCGAACACATGTAAGTTCCAGGGGGAACCGGACACCAGTTGCAATAGGTCAACACGTTGTTTCTTATCTGGAATGCCGATGACGGCGGCGGGAAATTAAACGTGTAACGCACTGGAGTGTATCCACCTGAGAGAGGAGCGTGTTCAGAGAAGAAGAATCTATGGTTAAAACATCCTCTATATATACAATGGTGTTCACGTCTTTGTCATGTGATCTGTGCAGAAAGGTGATCATGTCATGTGTACAGTGAAACCAACATGCATGGCCAACATCATGTGACCCGTAGATGCAGGGGTTGAGTGGAGTTGGAACTAACAATTACATGGCTGACCTGTATGGTCACGTGACAGATGTGAAACCACTCTATACGGGCGATTACAAAACATGGCATCACCGGCGCAGCAGCGAACGAAAAATAAAAAAAAGAATTAGGGACAAATGGATCACGCCGCGAATCACTCTGGAATCTGGATTGACCCCTGTTCAATGTGAAAATGTATGTGTTCGGAAGAGTGCTGCATGGTGTGTGTGGCCGTTGGCAGTAATATTGATCTGTGGGGATTTTCGGCATCAACTGTAAATTTGAAGAGAATAGGTGAGCACACATACTCATTCCCTGGGCACTGCAAAGTCACAACCCATTTCATTTCACAGAATCATTCAATTAGACACGAATACAATCTCTGTGCACACCCCAACGAAAACACTCACGTTGTGATGAGAAGAACATTTTTCTGAGTACTTCAAAAAGAAGCAACTAGAGCACCACAGGCCAAGGGAGAATTTTCTACTTTTTATCTCCCTGAGTGGTACATGTATGGCAAGCAAAGCATTTGGAGTTGTGAAAACACTCGATCATTCTGACCATGTGTATAAACGACAATAGAGAGGTTAAGATGCACGTTATTTCTGACGTGACACGAAGGTTCAGCTCGCGTTTTTTGGCTCGCGCGTCGAAAAACAACGCGTGCGACCTGCAGCTCACGTCGAAGTTTAGTTTACGCAAATTTGACGTGAAATTGCACGTCATGTCGGAAATAGCGTGCACCTTAACCTCTCTAATGATCGATCTATGCAGGACACCATCACTGACTATTTCACCCAGCATGAAAAGAATTCCGACAATGATGCAACCAGCATGGCATACGCATCCAAATGCAGTAGGTAGTTCACAATAAATTTCTAGCACAGAAGCCTTCAAAACGTCCACCACATTGGTAGACGTTCCGTTCACTAACCTGACGCCATACAGGTGAAATCGGTGCAGACTGGACCGGATAGGGAGCTGCTACGCCTCCGGTATCCAAAGTTGGTCACTCTCAAAGATGATTCTTGCCTCGTGTTCGTCGTCTGAGCAACTACAGTGGGACATGCATACCAGAACCAAACCAAAGCACAAGTTTGTTTGCTTCAATTTTCGTCTAAAACATTTCTCTTTTTCCTTTCTCTCTCGCACTCTCTCTCTCTCTTTCCCCATCTTTGCCTTTCTCTTTTCTCCCTGCCACCCTCTCCCTCCTCCCCTTCTCTCTTTCTTTCTTTCTTTCTTTCTTTCTATATCTTTCTCTCTCTCTTATACACACACACACACACACACACACACACACTGTCCCTCACTCCCACTCTTTCTTTCTTCCCATGGTGCATCTTGTTGGTTTTGAAGCAGAGACTCAGTTCTCCAAACCTGGCAATCACTGGTTAATTCATTATGCATGCTGCCTTCTGCTGCCGTGTTCATGTCTGTGGCCATTGGGTAGAGTTTGATCCCGCAGTCCCTTGATCCTAATCTCTCCAGCTTATGGCTGTCGGGAAGAGATGAGGACTGCAGCCAACATGGCATGCGATCAGCAAGCAGATCATCGTACGAGGACGTACTACTAGCTGGTAGTTGCTAACACAGGTGACTTGATCATTACTTCAACGCTTCCTGGGCCTAACCGTTCCACACACAAACACGCGTGCGATTATGGTAAGTGGTCGGAGTCATTAACGATTGACGTGCAACAGTTGTCAACACTTCAACATAAAGCAGACCTGTCGCTAGCAAAAGGCTGCGATCTCGAGGTCCGCGCAGCACTTGAAGAGGAGAAGCATTGCCTGGTGGCCCGTGTGACGAACATACTCGACAACAGCCTGTCAGAAAGATGTGGAAGGCTCTTGGTCTGCTACAGCTGATGCTGGTACTGACTTCATCCAACATGGCAAGTCTGGGAACTTTGCTTATCAGGTGAGAAGAGTAGATTTTGAAGGTTTGAAGATTCCCAGACCACGCCGCCACCACTCCCCTTATTCATGGCTCACACATGACGGGTTTACGTGGCTCTAGTAAAAAAAATTCCATGTGACCATTACCTTCACATGTACTGTTTAAATACCTCAGTTATCCGGACCCCGAAATTGCGGGCACTTCGGTCCACCGGACACCCTTCGGGCGAGTTTCAGTGGAAATATTAATAGTCTTTGGTCACTTTGGTGGAATTAGTGACATCATCTGCCATTATACAAGTAATTATAATTATGGCCAATCCCCTTGACAACGTATGTGACTCGGAGCTACGGACGTTCCAAAGTTATGGGCAGTGCGCGGACCACCCGGATGAACGAGATGTGAGTGTGCTTCTACCTTTATTTAAGGAAAAGGGTTAGCATTACACACCACCCCAAGACAGTAGAGTGCAGAGATTTATAATTCAATAGGTACTAGTAATTCAATAGGTACTAGTAATTCAATGCATAATAGGCAAATGGTTTGTCCGCATCCCTCTCCCCTTACCCCCCCCCCCCCCCCCCCCCCCAGGAAATCCAACATTGAGTTGAATGGTCATGCATAAAATATTTTCGAGGCGTCCCTGCCTTCCTCCCCCCTCCCTCCCCCCCCCCCCCCCCACACCCATATTGATCAAAGTAAACCACTGGCAAATCCTTTGGGGGTTGTTGCATGTAATTTAGACCGTTGAAGGTTCCTGCAGACCAGTATGTACATGTACCGGTACATGTACATGTATGGGCTCATTAACTTGAGAGATAAGAGTATGAAACCTAGGTCGTGACTCACAAAATATAATTTTTTCGTTTTGGCAAGAATCGGAGGTTTCACCCTCTGACGGTAAGGCAGCATTGCCTGTGCCCATAACGAAGTAGAAATAACAATGAATATGACAGCATTAACGTTACAACAACTCACACTGCTGGAGCTGCGCCCGGGTGACTCTGAGCTCCTTGTAAGCACTAGTGCCATCTGCACCCTGTACTTCACATCTGAATGTGCCTGTGTGACGATCCAGGTCGATGTTGCAGATCCGCAGGGATCCTGCAGTGGTGCCATCAAAGAACCAAACAAACACAATTGTTTTAGTATGAGCTGAGAAGAAGCCGCGCGGTCTGCCGTAAACAGCGTGTCCGTATTCCTGTCATTTTGTAAATGTTTCCGAAGTACCACGCTGTTCCCACATGTACAGCAAGGAGCATTTGTTGCTATCTATAAGTATAAGTTGATCGGGCAGGATCTCTGTTAGAAAGGCGTCATCTTGTGACATCAAGCGCTGGGACCTCTGCCACTATGACATCATCCGACCTGTGGACATCAAGCATGCATGCCATGCCATGGCAGGACCTCGCTAAGCATGACGTCATCCCATGGACATAAAGCAGGATCTTGACAAGCATGACATCATCCTGAGGACATCAACTAGGACCTCGACAAGCATGACGGCGTCCTGTGGAGGAGGACCTCTGCTACTATCACATTGTACGGCTGATTGGGCTGTTGCTAAAAATTAATGCCATTGTCCAATATAGCAATGAGTAAAACTGTCAGAGCAACTATGCAGTTGATCACCGAATTTCACGGAGTATAAGACGCACCCCCCCCCTCCCCCTCCCCCATTTTCTTGCCACGAAATGCAGACATCTACACGATTTTATTAATCTGATCAACGGAATATAAGCCAACCCCCCCCCCCTTTTTCGGTGAAATTTGAGTGTTCAAAGTGCAGCTCCTACTCCGGATAATACGGTAGCATGCTTCAGTTAGGGACCGGCGGATTCTGCTCGAAAAGCAGTGAAATTGGCAGAACCATACAAACCTTATTGCGGGCAATTTCTCGAATTCTGCTCCACTTTTTTATCCACATACCAAACATGCATGAAACTTACCAGAAAAGTACCGAATTCTGCCAATTTTTCTGCCAGCAGATTCCGCCGGACCCTAGCTTCAGTCATTAACCAGTTTCGTGCAAAGTGCGTCGGCCAGTAGACAACACCCATTTCCCATTATTATTTTTTGTTGTTATAACTAGCAGAACCTGGTGCTTTGATTAAAGGTTTAGACTTGTTTTATTCAAAGCCCCACATTTAAGTGAATAATTGCAAGAAGGTACAAGAGAAGAGCTAGAGAGAAAAAGGGAGAGTAAGGAGGAGTCCAGGTGGATAAGGAAAGATAAGAACATTGAAAGGATCGGTCACGCAATACTGTTAATTCCCATCGTGGATAGGATAATTATTGCATACAGGTTGAATGTGCATAGATTTACCTGAAGACAATGGGGTGATGTTGGGAAAGGACGACCGTGTATACCGGACGCTGTTGACGTGGTACGTAGACGTCCATGGCCGCGATGAGGCGCTGCCGACTATGCGACAGTTCAGCTCAGCACAGTTGCTACCTGCCGCCGTCAGCCAATTCTCCAGACGGACAACCTCATACCCAAGACCTACATAGTAATAATTATTATGATGAACACGAGAACATAACAAACGGGTTAATAAATACGTCACCACGAGTCCATGACCGTTTCACCTTGGCCAGAATTTGTTTCCGCGTGCTTTCAACACTGCGAAAATAGAGACTGCTGGAATCGGTGCTGCACTCGAGCAAGAACATCAGGGGTCGGATTTCGGCTTCCACCGCTCTATCATGAAAGGCGGAGCACCCCCCCCCCCCCCCCTACAGGATAGCCTGGCGGAGATGTTACAGTCAGACCTCGCTTATCCTGTCCTCTTTTATCCGAATCCCTCACCATCCGGAAGAAATCGTTGGTCACCGATTTACAGCATATGTCATGCATACATACAGTATGTGTCTTCGATTATCCAGTTCCCTCGCCAATCCGGATATTTTTGTGGAAAACGAATGTGTGCGGCTAAGCGAGGTCTGACTGTGTACGGTATGTAACCATTACGATCACAAACAAAAATATAAAGGCTATTGGCATGGCCGTCCCTATCTATACCTAGCTGCATCTCATGTTTGGCATTAAGAGAGCATGTCTGAGAATACCAAAGTATGTGTGCAAGTGGATCTCTCCGATTTCGCTCAAAATTTGCAGGTAGGTTGCCTTTGGGGTGTGGATCGACTGTGCAAAGCCCTTGAAAAAGTTTCTGAAGGGAACCTTGAAATTTGCATACCCCTCAAAAATGGCCGAAATATCACATTATTTATGGGTCTAGAAACGAGTCACGCCACAGCGTATACGAACAAGCTATGAACAAAACTCCATCAAGGCAACATTGCCTCACCTTAGAAGAGTTCCTGGAGCAATACCGCTTAGCCACGCTGGGATCCCAGAAGACGAGGTCCATCACCCCCTGACGCCACAAATGATCGTCTTGAAAATAGCCAATTTACAAGCGCTGGCAAAACAGCCAGCTACGTCCTCAATTGGCCAGAACTATACACCGGCAGATAGTAGAACACCTCTTCTAGCGCTGAGGACATGTCTCCCATCTTCCTTTTGGGGTTTTCTTGAAATAAACTTTTTTGAATTTTTCCACTCGACCATGCTGAAATACGGCCAAAGTTATACCTGCGCAGGAAAGCTCGCCCCTCCGCGACGTCTCCTCAGCAATTTCTACTCCAACACTACTCCCAAGGCCGCAGAACAAAGTATAGTGTTGACTCTGACAAGGAAAAGCAGCGGTGATCACTTGTCACTCCAAACGACAAGCTTCTCCTTGCGCCACCAATAATTTTTTGTGCGACTGTTGATGCAAAAGTGACTGAAGGCCTGAGCGCAGTTTTTGAATTTTATTGCAAGATGCACGGTGAGATCGCGTGCTCTGTGACGTAGGATGACGCTTCCTGCATCACGATACGCGCCCAACGATCGTGAAAGTGCCTGGAACGCTACTCGGAACAGACCATGATGGCAGAGGTAAGATGAGCTTCATTTCCTGCTTGAACTGCTGAGTACCCCAACAAACTGTCCTAGGAGTGTTGCAATGGCAGCAAGCCGTTGAAATATGCCCCGTACAGCATGGAGAGTTATTCGTCTTTCACACATACCTCCTGCAATCCCGAACATAGTCCAACAGTAAAAGTCCCTTGTTTTCATGTCGATGCTCGACAAAAGCGGCTAGCTCGGTCCCTGTGTTGACTGGCGCCGCGAGTAGCACTGACTGCACGCACTTGTCGCGTGAACTGCATGAGAGATTTCTTACGTCATAAAGAATGTGATTTCATCATCATTTCACTGGTCTTCGACCTACATGGTCAGGGAAAGTCCCGGTTCGTAGGCCTACAACACTCCCGGATCCCAGCGTGTTCTTGAGCGCAGTAACAACACAAGTGGGATCACTTCCAGACCACCGGGCGTTCAAGGCGAGTAACAAGCGCACTTGACGAAGGTGACTCTGAAATCTCGTGAGCCGTGGGCCACGCGACTTGGCATTCTTGCGTCACAAGGCACGTGATTTCACCGTGCATCTTGCAATAAAATTCAAAAACTGCGCTCAGGCCTTCAGTCACTTTTGCATCAACAGTCGCACAAAAAATTATTGGTGGCGCAAGGAGAAGCTTGTCGTTTGGAGTGACAAGTGATCACCGCTGCTTTTCCTTGTCAGAGTCAAAACTACACTTTGTTCTGCGGCCTTGGGAGTAGTGTTGGAGTAGAAATTGCTGAGGAGACGTCGCGACGGGGCGAGCTTTCCTGCGCAGGTATGACTTTGGCCGTATTTCAGCATGGTCGAGTGGAAAAATTCAAAAAAGTTTATTTCAAGAAAACCCCAAAAGGAAGATGGGGGACATGTCCTCAGCGCTAGAAGAGGTGTTCTACTATCTGCCGGTGTATAGTTCTGGCCAATTGAGGACGTAGCTGGCTGTTTTGCCAGCGCTTGTAAATTGGCTATTTTCAAGACGATCATTTGTGGCGTCAGGGGGTGGTGGACCTCGTCTTCTGGGATCCCAGCGTGGCTAAGCGGTACTGCTCCAGGAACTCTTCTAAGGTGAGGCAATGTTGCCTTGATGGAGTTTTGTTCATAGCTTGTTCGTATACGCTGTGGCGTGACTCGTTTCTAGACCCATAAATAATGTGATATTTCGGCCATTTTTGAGGGGTATGCAAATTTCAAGGTTCCCTTCAGAAACTTTTTCAAGGGCTTTGCACAGTCGATCCACACCCCAAAGGCAACCTACCTGCAAATTTTGAGCGAAATCGGAGAGATCCACTTGCACACATACTTTGGTATTCTCAGACATGCTCTCTTAAGTGGTCTTTGTAAAAAATAAAAAAAAACGAGAGAGCTTGGAAGCTCAGGGCCCTGCGCTATGCTTTTATGCTTTTTTGCCTAGCTCATCGTACATGTTATAAGAACTGATGGGAATGTCTTTTTCGTTGATTGGCCACATCACTGTATTGCAAAAACGTTTCAATCGGTTTGCTTATGAGTTAGGCAAAAGTATTTGCAGAATTTATTGCGGATTGTTATTTCTCTAATAATCATCTACTTTTGTTTTGCTCCTTCTTTTCTTTTTATCTCCTTATATTGTAAATCAACAAATTTTGGCCGATGAGAAATAGAAACCTCTCTATTAGAGAGGTTAAGATGCACGTTATTTCCGACGTGACGCGCAGTTTCACGTCAAATTTGAAATCGATCGGTATTTTTGCTCTCACATGCATCCATTGCTCAACTGAGCATATTGATGCTGGTGCATTGATGGCATTCACTGCATGTCGCTTGCTGCCCTTGGACAAGCGGCCCGGTGTCAGACCAATTGGCATCGGCGAGGTTGTTCGCCGCATTGTGGGGAAAGCAATTGTGTCCATTGTTGGCCCTGCGGTTCAGCAGGTTGTTGGCTGCTCCCAGCTGTGTGCCGGTCAGGACTGCGGGGTGGAGGCGGGCATACATGCTATGCAGGAGGCGTTTGCTCGTGAAGAGACTGATGGAGTTCTGATGGCAGACGCAACAAATGCTTTCAATCGCCTGAATCGCAGCGTCTGCCTTCGGAATGTTCGGCATCTTTGCCCGCCTCTGGCCACTGTTTTAATTAACACATACAGCGCGCCTGCATGCCTATATTGTCGACGGTGATTGCATCTTGTCGGAGGAGGGGACAACCCAGGGAGACCCTCTGGCAATGTACATGTATGCCATTGGCATGATGCCTCTCGTGAACAAAGCAGAACAAGCCGGGACTATCCAGTCTTGGTTTGCAGATGATTCCGCAGCGGCGAGTGTGTTGCGTAGGCTCCGTCGTTGGTGGGACATCTTGGCAAGTGATGGCCCAGCTTATGGATATTTCCCAAATGCATCAAAATCGATTCTGGTGGTGAAGGAGCGTTGCTATCGTGAGGCACTTGAGCTGTTCAGCGACACCAGTGTCGTCGTTACGTGTAATGGAGCTCGGTACCTGGGGGCGGCCATCGGCTCAGCTGATTTCAAGGAGAACTTTGTATCGACTAAGGTCCGGGAGTGGGCTGATGAGCTAACTCGGTTGGCTGATTTCGCTCGCTCGCAGCCCCAGGCAGCATATTATGCATATGTCTCGGGCTTGAGAAGTCGCTAGGCTTTCCTATGCCGCGTTCAGTCTATTTCTCCGTCCCAGTTCCAGCCACTGGAGGACGTGATAACCACGAAGCTTATACCAGCAATGACGGGTCGGCCACCGCCTGGCACAGTGTTGAGGGAAGTACTAGCAATGCCCTGTCGTTTGGGTGGCCTGGGCCTGGTCAGCCCGATGACTTTGTGCGCCCAGTATGAGTCGTCTGTCGCCATCACAGCATCTCTCTCCCGGCGTATCGTGGATCGTGTTTCTGATATTGGGAATTCTCTGATTGGCATCCAGCGGGAGAAGGCGAAGAGGAAGAAGGAGGTGCGTCATAGCCAGGCGGAGTCGGCACGGCGTATCAGCAATGACGCGTCGGACGCCTTGCGACACACCATTGTCCTCGCCCGTGAACCTGGCGCCTCGAGTTGGCTGACTTGCCGTCCATTGAAAAAGTATGGCTTTTCACTGAGCAAAGCTGAGTTCATGGACGGCTTGTGCCTCCGTTATGGTTGGATGCCGCCGAGGTTACCAACTCATTGCTCTTGTGGACGGGACAATGGTATTGACCATGCCTTGTCATGTCCCCTTGGTGGGTTTACCATTATCCGCCATAATGAGATCCGGGATGTGACAGCCTCCCTCCTTCAAGAGACCTGTCACAATGTTTCCATTAAGCCACTGCTGCAGCCACTCACTGGAGAGAGAATGAGATACAGGTCTGCTATTGTGGAGGAGCATGCGCGGCTTGATGTAGCGGTCAGTGGTTTGTGGGGCAGTCGTTTTGAGCGTACTTTACTTGATATACGGGTTTTTAATCCTCATGCACGCTCAAATCGATCTGCACCACACACCACTGTCTATCGGCGTCATGAAAAAGAAAAGCGACGATGTTATGAAGAGAGAGTGAGAGAGGTGGAGCATGCGACGTTCATGCCTGTTGTGCTGTCGGCAAGTGGTGGCATGGGAAGAGCGGCGACATCACTCTATCGCCGAATCGCGTTATTGAGAGCGGAAAGGAGGAAGGAGCAGTACTCCCACGTAATATCTTACATCAGATGCCGTCTCTCATTTGCCCTGTTGCGATCATGCATCATGTGTTTGCGGGGTTCACGGGGTCTTTTCCGTGAGCGATCGGTTCGGCATCCGGAGTCTGCTGAGCTGGTTGTTGCTGAGGCCCAGGTTGCTCGCATGTGAGAATCTATAAATTGCAGCAGATTATTTTTATTATAAATACTGGACATGGATATTGAATTAAACTGTACTCAGTGACTTTTTACATTTTACAGGCTACGTTTTATTATTATTATTATTATTATTATTATTATTGTAAAGCTTTCCTTTTGATCTTGTCTCTTGTTGTGACCTTTCCACAATAATTGGGCTGCATTAAAAAAAAAAAAATTAACTGCTAAAAAAAAAAAAAAATCCATTGCTCAATCATGCATCATTTGCCTATATGACAAACGTTGGCCTGCGATTTACTTTGGCCGGTTGGTACCAAGCGGCGAAATCAGCGAAATTAAATCGCCAGCGAACATTAGTTGATTTTAATACAGTGATCGGATTTTCTGGCCTTTTTGTAGTAATACATGTGCATTGACCTGTTGAGCCAATGACGACGCCGAATGCATGGTTGCCTGTGGAGCACATCACATAACTTTACAGTCTCCTAAAATACGTATCCTGTCCGACGGCAAAAGAGGCTGCAGATTTAGTTTTTCTGCGCGTCGACGGGATGTCTGCGACGCGAAAGTTCAGCTCGCGTTATTTGGCTCGCATGTCGAAAAATCAACGCGAGTGACCTGCTGCTCACGTCGAAATTTGGACATTACATAAATTTACAGTCTCCTATATAAAACGTATCCTGTTCGACGGCAAAAGAGGCTGCAGATTTAGTTTTTCTGCGCGTCGACGGGATGTCTGTCCTGACGTTTACTGGGACCGGCGCTGACTCTGCCGATCACGGACGTTCTGGACTCGACGAGATGTCTGTCCTGACGTTTCCTGGGATCGGCTTAGACTCTGCCGATCACGGGCGTTCTGGACTCAAAGGGATGTCTGTCCTGACGTTGCCTGGTACCGCCGGACTCTACCGATCACGGGCGTTCTGGAGTCGACGGGATCTCTCTTCCGACGTTTCCTGTGACCGGCACTGAATCGCTCGTTCACGCTTATTTTGGAGACGACGGGATCTCTCTTCCAAAGTATGTTTATGCTGACGCATCCTATCACCTAATCGGCGTCTATTCTAATTTAATTTCCTCTTCGTCTCCCTATTTCTTTCCAAATCTCCCTCTACATCAGGGAGTCGTATACATAATACGACGAATATTGGTACGGTACGGGACAGATACAGGAGCCCGCAAATATTGTGGACAGCTGTTATGTACAATCCTGTAGAGCCTTTGTAGTCACAGATACGGGACAGATACGGGACAGATACGGGATAGCTCCAGCCGTGACACAAACAAACAAACAAACACCAAATTAAAGCTGGGTGGACCCTCGCTAGCGCCAGACGTTACTGAAGTAACGTCTTCTGCATAGCTACGGGAATAAAAATACCTGTGCCCGCGGTTCTGTATTTACATGGGAGACCATTGCCTTTGAAGACACTATGGTTAATCTGGGTGTCCATGTTCTGCATTGGAATGGTGTCAAGGTGGGACAGACTTGTGTGGTGTTTCAGACCCCAAGTAATTAGTTACATGTAGTGCGGTGAGGGAAACCGTCAGACGAAAGTGGCCCACTTCAGTCATGGGTGCTACATGATGCTGACGTCACTACCACTTTTAAAGTGTGAAGTGTTTAATGTCATGGATAAAGTGTCTCTACTTACCATGCTAATATCAGATGGAGAGTGGGGTGGTGACGCAGACAAACCAGGAAGTCATCCAACCAACCATGGACAGGTGATGCACCAAATTATTGAAAAAATTAATACAGAAAAACATACATGTACACCGGTACACACACACACGCATACACCGGTATACCCACACACACGGATACACCGGTACACACACACACGGATACCCCCACACACACACATAAACACACGCATACACCGGTACACACACACACGGATACCCCCCCCCCCCACACACACACACATAAACACACACATGCACGCATGCACGCATGCATGCACGCACACACACACACGCACACACAAACATACACACACACACACATACACACACACACACATACACACACACACACATATTGCATACATGTAGATTAAACATAGAACATACATTTAATACTCCACCGCAGATTCACAATCCATGCCTTACATTATATCAATGAGCGATCTGTCAGGAGTTCTGAAGTGGCTTCAGGAGGGACTGCTTTCAATATGCAACATATTGCAGACACCTTGCCATGAGTGTGACGTCTATTGCACAGCTGCTCATGAAAAGCTCTTCAACACTTCCGTACTAGCAGCCTATCACGGTGAAGTACACGAGTCACTTAAAACTCACTTCAGCCTCTGCGTTCAGTGGGAGTTGTCAACATGTATCTGAACACTGAAGGCTGTTGACAGTTTCCACCGGGATTAACCGCTCTCTTACTCTTCCCTCTCTCTCTTTCTCTCGCTCTGTCTCTCTCTCTCTCTCTCTCTCTCTCTCTCTCTCTCTCTCACTCTCTCTCTCTCTCTTCTCTCTCTCTCTCTCTCTCTCTCTCTCTCTCTCTCTCTCTCTCTCTCTCTCTCTCTCTCTCTCTCTCTCTCTCTCTCCTCTCTCTCTCTGTCCTTTCTCTGTCCTCTTTCTTTCTCCCCCTCTCTCTCTTTTTCTCCCTCTCTCTTTCTCTCCCTCTCTCTCTTTCTCTCCCTCTCTCTTTCTCTCCCTCTCTCTTTTGAAAAAGAGGGAACCATAAGAGTTGAATCTCTCTTTTTATTAAATTATTTGCTGTAGGGGGAAGTGTATGGGGTACAATCTGAAACCGGGTCCATTTGAAGAGCTCTAATTTATATTGACTGTGAGGCAAGCTCCCTCTCTCTCCCTCTCTCTCTCTCTCTCTCTCTCTCTCTCTCTCTCTCTCTCTCTCTCTCTATCTATCTCTCTCTCTCTCTCTCTCTCTCTCTCTCTCTCTCTCTCTCTCTCTATCTATCTATCTATCTATGTCTCTCTCTCTCTCTCTCTATCTATCTATCTACCTATCTATGTCTCTCTCTCTCTCTCTCTCTCTCTCTCTCTCTCTCTCTCTTCTTGTTATTCTGTCTTCATTCTGTTCGAGATATCAGATATCGATCGATTTTGCACGATGTCAAACCTCGTACGAGTATCCTGACCCCTGAAACTCAATGTAGATCCCATGCAACTCTGGTGCTATGCTTGATTTCCCATTACAGTTTCGATCAAGGCCCGTCGTGCAAAACTGGGATGCCCCCCCCCCCCCCCCCACCTTTACAACTCGTGAATGCATGTAGCGGGAAGTCCATTCTCCACTGATGGGAGGTGCTATCTGTGGATACGCATTCTCTTCCGCTTTATTAGTGGCTGACTTTTGCAAATGCAATCAGCAACACGCCTGATGTCACATGCATGTACATGTACATGTACACGCAGGAGCATACGAACATGTAACAGACCAGTGCCGAAGACTGAATCCTCTTTTTAAAGCTCTAACTTGCTCAGTATCAAGCGGAAACCAACTAGGCTGTGACGTATCAGCAGTTGTTTACCACTGATATCCATGGTCTAAGCGGAATTCCCACATCTTCCCTCAATGAAACGGAAGTAACGCCGTCGTGGTAAAGTAAATGAACTAGTCTCAAGGAACACCACGATTCTCTCTGCTCATACGTAATCTAGCCAAAACATTCGCTGATCAATGCTAACGTTTTCCGGACTTACCACGTTGGTCGAAGTCGTTAACAGCACCAGCTGTAGAAGACCAATGACCTTCCACATATTTTTGGTGACGATCAGGCTTCTGTCGAGTCACACGCTCCGCTGCCAATGCTTCTCTCGCTGCCGGCCCTCAAGAATGAAATCCTGGTCAGCGACCGCTCTGTTTTATGCAGATTTTGCGCGTGACGAGTGCTGAGCACGTGTGCTTCTCGCTTCGCTCTTGAGGCCTTGACATGGAAAGTAAACACTTGAGGCAGCTACCAGCAACATTACTAGTAAACGATACATTACACAATCAAGTCATGTATCCATGTACATGTAGTAAAGTTAAGTTAACCATAGATAACGAATGAATACTAGTAGCAGATAAGGGACCAGTACATGCAAAAAAATCAGTATGCATGTATGTGTGGCAACGTTAGTGCGAAGTTACTTCTACTGGATTATCTTCTTCATGTGCGTGTCTACATGTACGTGTACATGTAGATTCAGCACCATTTTTGTCTGCATGTCCCAGCCGCACAATCTGTGCGTTTCGTTATCACCTTTATAACTCTTGTCACCTTCAAATTTCTTTGAGTATGCCACTTTTACAGATGGAAAGGGCACAATTGCGCCGCCGTTACCCTATAAAAGTAGATTCATTCCTTTCTCTACTATTCATTCCTTATCTACCTCCACTGAGGAGCTCTCAACAAGCGAAACAGCTGTCTGGAGGACATGCAACATCTACAGTGACCCAGGAGCGAATTTCCTCGATATGGTGCATGTTGTTGTGGATGTGGGCCAAGAGCGCAATGTGGAGTCTAGTGGTGGAGTGTTTCAAATTTTCAAATGGCCGAGTTCGTCGCAGCTCCTACATTTGATTAATCCTGAAATAAAGATTGTTAGAACTCAATCTGCGAACAGAACTGTTGCCTCCTTTGGGGACTCGTCGCGCAGCACGGAGAAAATGAGGCCGAACCTGATAGCAATGAAAAATAAATTTTCCAAAGCCAGAAATTAACCAGGCCCGAACGTACGTTCAGATTATTTTTGAAGAATGTAAACATTCTTGCTTACAATTTCCCAGTTTCGTTCAGACCAAGTCCAAGCCTAGCAGGTAACATCTAGACACGCGTAGAAGCAGAGTTGCAGATTATTACTTCAAGTAACACCTTAGCTGTCATCTGTAAGTACTTGATGTCGTGAGAATAGCAGCACTCACTCAGTGGTCAGCCTGGTTATTTGAAGAAGCACCTTTCGAATATTATTATGATCTGTGCCAATACACGACACCTTATTGCAGTCTGCGAGGGAATACGTTCTTGGGCAGATGTTGCATATCCTCCAGACAGCTGTTTCGCTCATTGAGAGCTGCCAGGGTTTTGAACAGGGATGATACTTCCTGGTCCTAATGTGGATCATTAATCAGTTTAGTATAGCGTCTAGCAGTGAAACATGAACGGAGGCATCGCGTCATAATACTCCTCTGGGAGTGAGGATGTTCAGACTTCAGACTTTGACTTTGGTGACAGAACCACTCCGACTCCGAGCAGATAAGCGAGCCTCCCATGTCAGGCATGCAGAGTGACTCCGCAAATATTAATTCACCTACCACAGTGATGCATGCTCTTTCCTGGTGTGGCGTGATCGCGCGCATAGATCGAAGTGGATTCGGCAATCTGCATCAACCTTGACCACAATTAATTAATCATGTAAGAAGAACGTGTGCATTGCGAAATAGTGCTGTTCGCAACACGACAACCAGTAGCAACATCAACGTCAAATCATCAAATTTTGAGAGGACTGCTACACGAATCTACTGTAGCCTGGAGGCCAAAGCAATTGAATTAATTTTAAGTTCCCACCATTTCTGTGTGTAGGGTAATTGCTGCTTGCTTTCACCGATATCGGCGTTGTCGCAACAGGTCAACGTATAGTTGCAGTGTTGCGTACATGAAATTCACGGAAATGGTGCCGCGATTACTGAGCAATGTGAGCATTGGCCTTAGTGGAAACGCCCCTACCGCAGCCTAGAGAAATGAGGCAGTTGGGCTGTTCGTAATTTGATAGAAACCACAGCTGGTTGAACTGCAACTCCCTGGAGTGGTGAGGGCCACAATCGGCGTATAAGGAAGGCGATGGTGTGTGAATAAGTCATGACCATTGTGATGATAATGGTTGACAGTTATCAAGTTAGCTCCGATCTCGAAGTGACAATGTAGAGAATTAGAGGAGAAAGAGAAAGGAAAGAGAGAGAAAGGAGAGAGAAAGAGAGAGAGAGAGAGAGAGAGAGAGAGAGAGAGAGAGAGAGAGAGAGAGAGAGAGAGAGAGAGAGAGAGAGAGAGAGAGAGAGAGAGAGAGAGAGAGAGAGAGAGAGAAAGAGAGAGAGACAAGAGAGAAATAGCGAGAGTGAGTAATTGAGGGAGGAAATGAGGGATTTTTCTTACTAAATGCCTGGGAGGGGGGGGAGAAAGAGAGAGGTCCAGTCCTTTGATTCTATAGCGCGCCTGATAAGGACATGGTTGTACATGTATCTGCAAACATGATAACTGACAGGGATCTACATCAGGCCTCTGTACTCAAAGTTACACTGGGACAACCTATATATTAGCTGAAAGATCATGAGGGACGAATTATGTCAGCTGCGTGAAGACTAGTGTGTTAAGTCGCTATCTCCACTCAGCCGCCCATCGAGTCTTGGCGGGCAATGCTCGAAAATAGACCGATTCAGCTCGAAAGCATTGAAATTGGCAGCACCATAAGATTGAAAAGAAGCTCATTGCCGGAAATTCCTCGAATTCTGCTTCTCTTTTATATCCGAAGCTAACCCGCAGGATCCAGACTACTCAAGATCTTCAACCGGAATACAGTTAACGTAAGCTATAGTTGTATGTCGAATATGTCTGCAATGGTCAAGTCACACAACAACTCAGTTAAACGGAAGAGTGGAAACAACGATGGACAGCCCAAGGAAAGACGATGCAACTGCAGAGACAAAGCGTAGTGTCCGATGGACGGCAACTGCCAAATCAGCTCTATTGTGTACAAGGCAACCGTCCAAATATCCGGAGAGGACAGACAGCAGGAGTATATTATCGGTCTTACGGAGCCAGAATTCAAGAAGAGACACGGCAACCATCTCACATCATTCAGACATGAGAGACATGAGAAGAGCACAGAACTATCACAGTGTGTCTGGAACCTGAAGCGTCAAAATAGCGAGTACAGTCTTGGTTGGTCAATCATCGCCCAGACTCCAGGTTACAGTAACATAACCAAGCGCTGTCCTCTGTGCCTGAGAGAGAAGCTGGAGATCCTTCAGGCGGACAAGCGTGTCAACATCAACAAAAGAGCGGAGCTAGTTAGCAAGTGCAGGCATGAAAATAAGTACTACCTCTCAAAATTCTCACCACCAGCCATCACATAACCTTTTCACTACTCGCAGTCGCAGGTGAGGCGCTGCTCATAATTACCCCATTGTTCTTCTTCTTGCCTCTCTCAGAAGAACATGTGGTTGCATGAGCCTAGGCCTAAAGTGTATTCTTTTTTTGCGCCTATTTTTGCACCCCATCAACCAACTCACGCAATCATTTTCATATTTACACTATCAGCCCGGATCATCCATTCGCGCTATGATCCAAGCTTTGCAGCCTATATCAATCTTATCTTCGACAATAAGTCAAGTTGCTGTCTGATGATCGGTTAAAACCGTGAAACTCAGAGTTACAGAAGAAACGCTTTTGATCCCTCTCAAATGTGTGTATCCGAAACTATTCCAATAATTTAGGAAATACACCAAGCAAAGTACCAAATTGTTTCCTCGAAAATGAGTACCAAAGTCTTCCCATCCTTCCGATATGCTGCCCAGAAATACTGGCAATATACGTTAGCACTTGAGGATAATGCGGGCAGCAAAATTGGTACAATTTGGTACTTTTTTTTACTATGCTTTTTTTACTATGTTCACATACTTAATCCCTGATGATGCCCCCCTGGGTGAAAATTCGGACAATTTCAACTGTACGTTGTGTAGCCAAGGACTGTTTTGTGTGTTGCGAGTTGGGTATACTGAAAATGTTCACATACCCAACTCATAAATAATACAGAAAGACAATGGTACTGAGACAAGGACAAACGTGACAACTACTGAGAAGGGGCTGCACTGAGATGCAGCAATGATGGTGGGGCATTGATGGCTCTGCTGACCTGAGGTCTCGGCATCACGGCCAGAAACACGCACCAAAAACAAAAGATAGAGCTGTAAGGGTCAGCAAAAATAAAAAGAAAGCAAGGGCAAACAACAGCTAGTACTGGTGTGCAGCGCATTCGTAGCAATGGAAGTCGTTGACGGGGCACTAGAATGTAGGTGGGTCGACAGGCAGAATATCCGTGGACCATCGCCAATCCTGTCGGCGGAGCTCCGGAGGTATTCGTTGACGTTGCACTTAAACTTTTGGAAGATTTTTGCGAGTTGGGGTGGAGTCTAGAAAAGCTGGCGGCAGGGAATTCCACAGCTGGATTGCACAATGTGGGAAGCTGCGGAGAATGGTGTCTGGTGCTTGACGCGGTAGGGGATTTCGTAGCTGGTAACTGTGGCCAGCGGCCATGCGGAGATCGTTTCGAGTGCGAGTGGCGTCACGGGGCTCAAGCCTTGGTGGGAGGACTGCTAGGTCTATTGGGTCTATTGGGTCGGACCGGTGATGAAACGCAGTTTGTAAATGTTTCGTGCATGTTTGGTATGTGGATAAAGAAGTGGAGCAGAGTTCACGTGCCTGCCATAAAGTGTGCATGGTTCTTCCAATTCCACCGCTTTTCGAGCGGAATCTGCCACTTTTCGGGCATTCCCCGCCGAGAGCTACTGGTACCCACTACCTGATTGATGTTATCAAACGGATCCACATCATACAGCAGGGGCGTCGGAAGGTATTTTAGTGTGGTACGGTCAGCCATTTGAAGTACAATTTACTCGTGGGGGAGTGGTGGCGGAGCCGCGGAAAATTTGGGAATTTTAGATCCCAGATCACTGTATTTTGTTGATTCGCGGGGTACCTGGGGCAAAAAGTGGTACGGTCAATACCGTAGTGACCGTACCGTGTGCGACGCCCCTGTACAGTCGACTCCTATAACGAACACCATTTTGCAGCCGAAGTTCAATAGCAGAAATGCACTCACTCTACACAAGCATGCAGTAAGTCATAACTGGCAAGTGGCCCATGACAGTATGAGTGCACTTGGTGTACATGATGCCCTACAAGATTTGGTTTCTTAAAGGGGAAGTTAAGGCAAAAATTTAAATTTCACCAGTTGTAGTCTTCGGGGTGCTGAGTCGAATGGTCTTGGTCCGAGGAAGCTGAGACGCTCCCTTCCTACTTGAATCCCAATCGAACTCGCGCACTTCCACCGAAACTGGGTGACTGCGCCCTACTAGATGGGGATTTGTATGCAAAATCTCACTAAAAGCGTCATTTCGTTCTTATAAAAGCACGGATGACCGCGATTGGCCCATATGTAGTAGTCTTTTGGACGCTGAGTCGATTGGTTTTGGTCCGAAAAGGCTGCGATGCAGCGTTCCTCCTTTATTCCCAATCGAACATGGCTGAACAAGCGGTCACGTGCTCCTGGGTGCCCAAATCATCTGGTCACCACGCCAGCAGGCGACAACTTTCACACCAAGGTTCAACTCAAGTGACAGGACTGCACCCAAAAAAGGTCAAACAGGCTAGTAAGTTGTACCCTGCAGGCACGGTGACCAGGTGACTGGTGTACGCATTAGCACGTGACCGCTTGTTCAACCATGTTCGATTGGGAATAAAGGAGGAACGCCGTATCGCAGCCTTTTCGGACCAAAACCAGTCGACTCAGCGTCCAAAAGACTACAACATATGGGCCAATCGCGGTCATCCGTGCTTTTATAAGAATGAAATGGCGCTTTTAGTGACATTTTGCATACAAATCCCCATCTAGTAGGGCGCAGTCACCCAGTTTCGGTGGAAGTGCGCGAGTTCGATTGGGATTCAAGTAGGAAGGGAGCGTCTCAGCTTCCTCGGACCACGACCATTCGACTCAGCACCCCGAAGACTACAACTGGTGAAATTTTATTTTTTGCCTTAACTTCCCCTTTAAAAACGAAATCTGTTCGCTATAAAGGGTCAATTTTGTACGGGTTCAAGCAGGGACATGGACATGGGTTCGTTATATCACTAAATTCGCTATATCCGAGTTCGTTATAAGTAGAGTCAACTGTATTATGCTTTGCAATACATGCATTGATTTTGTAATTCGCAAGACATGTGCAAAGGTTGGCGCTCTTCGTCGGTCCTTTCGGCAATTGAGCAGGAAGGCCAGGAGGCAATTTATTGTATCAGTCATTCTACCTGATCTTTTGTACTGTTGTTCGTGTTTTGTAACGAAGCTGTCCGCTAAGGACCGCCAAAGGCTCTCTACTGTGTTCCGCCGTGCTGTACGAGCTGCCTGTGGTGCTAAGTCACAGGACGACATCACGCCATTATTGACCACATTGGCGATTTATCCATTTGAACACTATATGATTCTCAACTTTGCCCAGTTTATTCATAGAAATCATGTCATCATCTCACTTCCTACCCTAACGGAATTATTTCCACCGATCACAACAAGCCTTAGAACTAGAAGCCACTCTAATGCTTCCATTGCCATATCTAAGCACCGGACAACTGATGGAGTAAATTCTTTTTCTAATCGTGCCGCAATTTTCTTTAATACACTACCTGCCGAGTGGCGCAGACACCACCGTACCTCTACATTTGCAAACCAACTCAGGGATCTTTTTAAAGACCCAGTGGCGTTTAAGAAGTATTTTGACCTTCTTTTTGGAATCTGTTGAGTTTCTCGATGATCTTGATAGTTCTTGTACTAAGATTGAAGTTGACTTGGTGTTTGATTACTGTACTGCTTGATGTCTGAATTCCAATTTTTTCTATTTTTTCTTTTCTTTTCCTTTCCTTTCCACTTATCCCGTTATCGGCCCTCTTAAGAGTTGTGTGTATCACTGTTGAGGCATCCGATGGTAAATAAAATAAATACTACTACTAATACTACATGCATGGCGCATGTGCCGTAGTACAGCCCTCTTTTGACTCAAGGTCTTACACATAGGCAGGTGCTGGTGGTGCTGCCATAGTGCTCAGTGCACAGTGTGCATGGCTGTGTGTGTAGAGGCTATGCTCATGACATCACTGTGTATGCTCATGACATCATTGTATAGGCAACATGACATTGCTGTGCAGGCGAATGACATCGTCGTGTATGCATATGGCATCATGTTGCATGCTTGTATGGAGTGGAAAGCTAGTGTTTGTGATGTCGCTCCATGCAAAACACCCTAGATGATGGCACACTAATTGAATAATCTCTAGAGTGCGAAAATCAGAAGTGTAAGAACTGAAAGGATGGTCCTAAAATGCAAAAGATAGAAGCCTGTGTAACTTAACTAAAATGCAGAAGAGAGCGAAGGCAATAGCTGTTCGCGTTATCTAGATCTATTCTCACAAGAGAACGCTGGACAATGCAACACACTGTGCCATTACAAACATTATAGCAAACCAGTTCACAATCACCCGGACTGAACATCACAGCCGACCCAGTCCTTGGTCAACTCAGTCCACTTTAACATCGCCACCATAACAAGAATTCTAGCTCCGTCTAGAGACCTGCTTTGGACCTGGCCAGACCCTTCAGCCAGCTGTTTTCCTCAAGTCAAGCTCATAGCGTTTGTGGTGGAATCAGAATGAATTTTACATTCACAGAGAAAGCGGAGCGTATAATCTACCAATGGCAGCCTTAAAAATTTAGATGCGGAGAGAAGGGGTGGTATATTCTATCCAAGAAAGCTTTTAATCAACCTATACTATGACGTGCTTGGCGACTGGAAATTGATGCTTCAGGCAATAGCTAAGTGATGCAGAAAAGGTAGAATACAGTCTTGTAAGACACGCATACATGTATGTGTGTATGCTACTAGTGAACGCTGGCCTCAACTCTCACTCGCAGGGAGCAACTAGGCGACGCACTCCTGCCAGGGTGGACTCGCAAGCTGCAAAGAGAGTGAGTGAGAGAGAGAGAGAGAGAGAGAGAGAGAGAGAGAGAGAGAGAGAGAGAGAGAGAGAGAGAGAGAGAGAGAGAGAGAGAGAGAGAGAGAGAAATCGGACATGTGCACACACACAGAAATTCTCGCAGATAGAAGTGAATACCACCGCAGTATTCAGTATTCAGCATGGCATGCCTCAGTCCGGTGGTACAGACAATTGCACCTGTAGTCATGCCGATAACATTTCTGCCTGCTGAAGGTTGTGTAACCTTTTTAAAAACATAGAAGCCGGTGTATGCACAGTATCCAGAGTTCTAGCTTCAAATAGTGCTCTATGGCCAAGCAAGGGCAGAGAGTTCTACATACACCCAAAAATCTGAGTTTCGTATTAGGAAACACTCATCAGATAAGCTTGCGTACAAAAAAACATACATGCACACACACACACACACACACACACACACACACACACGCACAAACACACACACAGGAGATATGTGGATTTTGTAAGAAAAAAACACACACACTCACACACACACACACACAAGCACAAACACACAGAAAGTCAGAAACACAAATCATAGTACACATACATACACACACAGAAACACACACACATACACACATACACACACACACACACACACACACACACACACACACATGCGCGCGCACTCCCGACTGGCCGCCTCCCTTCTGAGCTGGTCATAGCTGGTCATAGCTGGTCATAGCTGGTCATAGCCCATTTCACATATTCGAATCTAACCACTCACCAGTCAGATCAGCGAGGCTAACTCGGCTGTCAGCTTCGGCCTTCGCAATGTCATCTTCCAGATTTTGCTTCGTATCAAGAATCTGTTGAGCCTAAGTGAAACACAAGCGAAAACAACAGATATAGCACAGGCTGACAACTGGGGTGAATCATAGGGCATCAGACACGATACGGGCACTACGGTATTGACCGTACCACTCCCCCCCCCCCCCGGTACCCCATGTATCAATACAAAGCGCTGATGTGGACTCTAAATTTCAAAAATTTTCAGAGGAGCCACTCCTCCCAACAAGTAAAATGTACCTCAGATGCCTGGCCGTACCACCCTAAATTACCCTCCGACGCCCCTGTCAGCGAGCAAGATAGCAGACTGGGAGACACGTAGGTTCAGAAGAAGTCGGCAGCTGGAGTTTTTATCTTAATATTTTTCTTGCAAAATTGAATTCACACAGGGAGCAGTCCTGAAAGTAAACCTTCCAAAATCAGTTGATTTCTAAGAGGATTTCAAAATCTGACAAAGTTGCCATGCACAAACAATGTCTCGGAGTGTCAAAAACTGACGATTCACGTCAAACTCAATAAGACTGAATTTGACGCCATTGACCATTTTACCATTTGACGCCCATCGCCGGAGGCGATGATAGCGAGGCTACAGCAGAAGCCATAGCAACTTGTGCTGGGATAGCACCATTCAACAGCTGAAGAATTGGCCACAACTATTCAGCATGGTCTACACCACACAGCTATGAAGTGGCTTTTTCTGGACTTTTTCATTGTTTTTCCCGCACGCACATCACACCACATACTCCGGCATGCACTGGCTGTTGGTAACCACCCAGGAGAATGAAAGAAAAGTCAGGAAGAGTCTGAGAAAGAGAAGAAAGACATGTGTGACCATATTAATTCCGGAACCGAACCCGCAACCAATCGATTGGAAATCGCTGCACATACCACTGCACCATATGGGACACAACCCGTATGAGCACCACCATCCTCAAAGATCACGGCACAGCTGCTGCTCCTGCAGCGGTGGGAGATGAGCAGATCAGACCGAGTGCATAGCCTCACAGGCGAGTAGCTGTCTGTACTATAGTCAGACCTCGCTTAAAGGGGAAGTTAAGGCTAAAATCAAAATTTCACCAGTTGTAGTCTTCGGGGTGCTGAGTCGAATGGTCTTGGTCTGAGAAAGCTGAGACACTTCCTTCCTACTTGAATCCCAATCGAACTCGCGCACTTCCACCGAAACTGGGTGACTGCGCCCTACTAGATGGGGATTTGTATGCAAAATGTCACTAAAAGCGCCATTCCGTTCTTATAAAAGCACGGATGACCGCGATTGGCCCATATGTTGTAGTCTTTTGGACGCTGAGTCGACTGGTTTTGGTCCGAAAAGGCTGCGATGCAGCGTTCCTCCTTTATTCCCAATCGAACATGGTTGAACAAGCGGTCACGTGCTCCTGGGTGCCCAAATCACCTGGTCACCACGCCAGCAGGCGGCAACTTTCACACCAAGGTTCAACTCGAGTGACAGGACTGCACCCAAAAAAGGTCAAACAGGCTAGTAAGTTGCACCGTGCAGGCACGTTGACCAGGTGACTGGTGTACGCAGGAGCACGTGACCGCTGGTTCAACGATGTTCGATTGGGAATAAAGGAGGACCGCTGCATCGCAGCCTTTTCGGACCAAAACCAGTTGACTCAGCGTTCAAAAGACTACAACATATGGGCCAATCGCGGTCATCCCTGCTTTTATAAGAACGACATGGCGCTTTCAGTAACATTTTGCATACAAATCCCCATCTAGTAGGGCACAGTCACCCAGTTTCGGTGGAAGTGCGCGAGTTCGATTGGGATTAAAGTAGGAAGGAAGTGTCTCAGCTTCCTCGGACCATGACCATTCGACTCAGCACCCCGAAGACTACAACTGGTGAAATTTTGATTTGAGCCCTAACTTCCCCTTTAACCGTACATAAGCGTTTCCACGGAAATATCCGGATAGGCGAGGGAACCGGATAATCAAACACACATACTGTATGTATGCATGGCATATGCTGTAAATCGGTAGAAAACGATTTTCTTCCGGATGGCGAGGGATCCGGATAAAAGAGGACCGGATAAGCGAGGTCTTACTGTATCTTACTTACCGAACTGACTTGTTCCTCTAGTGCTTGCAGCTGGCTTCGGAGCCCTTGGTTCTCTCTGTTTTCCCGACTTAGATCAAGCTCTGCTCTCCTCAGTCGGGCGTTCCAAACAACAAGGTCTGATGCTGCACAAATACGCACCCGCGCACAAACACGCATGCATGCGCACACACACACACACACACACACACACACACACACACACACACACACACACACACACACACACACACACACGCGCACGCACACTCACATGCATGCACGCATGCACGCACACACACGCACACACACACACACGCACATGCACTCACCCACGCACACACACACGTACATACACACGTACACGTACACACACACACACACACACACACACACACACACACACACGGACACACACGCACACACACGTTGGTGGTCAACTGGAAACTATTTGATTCCTTTCTAATGCCTACATACTCACCGCCCTGTCTTCAGAACTGGCATTCTAGGCCATTGAAAGTAGAAAATTACTGCCCATGGCTCTCAACCTCACCAGTACTCTCTCAACCTCGGCATACTTTCTACTCTCAAAACTGCGTCCAGAGCGTGACGATGTCGAGACCAGTTGGTCGACGGAGTGCCTGGCCCCCACCACCATGGCTGCTGCATGTTCCCATTGCGTGCACCACATGGCTTTAAGTAAAAATAAAAAATAAAAAAAATAAAAAAATAAAAAACTCCATACCTTTTGCATCTTCATACTGTTTCTGGTAGTTTACCGTGGTTGGCTACCAACCTTCACTTCACATTCATTAGTTTGGTTATTAGCAGTCCCTTGATGATCCAGGACATGTTGAATAGGTGCAAATATAAAACTGCTAATGTCGCATGGATACAAACCTTTGCTGTACAATGCGGTGAACGTAGAGCCTTCCAAGTCCGCTATCTCGCACTCATACGTCCCGGTCGGCATGGGGCACGTGCTGCAGTGTCGCACCCTATTGTTGAAGATCTCAAAGTCGTCGGTGTTGTCCATTGGGAGGATGTACCCGTAGGAGATTGGTCCGACGCCCCCTGTGCATACAAGAGGCAGAGGACGCACCTAGGGTGTTGAGGGTGATGAAAATGTCATAGCTGTAGTCATGACAACAGAGTAGCACTGGTCCCGGCACGCACCATTGTGATGAACCAAGTTCAATAATAACAGCCCACGAGTATATTTAGGTCCACAAAGCATGCTTGAGGGTAAGCGGTTCAGCCGGGCATAAATGCACCTGGCTTCAACTTCCGATCCATCCAGGTCATTCACCCAGATCTGACTTAGAGTAGTTTAGGTTTGTATTGTAAAAGCAGAACATTTCGGTGGTGTAATATTTTTGGTATTCTCCAAAATCGGCGGTTCGGTAGAGGGAAATTTTCAGTAAACCCGTTTTCCAGGTAAGTATACTAGTCCTTGTCCCGGAATTTCCGGTGCGATTTATATTCGGTAAATATTTCGGCACCGAAGTTGCCGAAAATACAACACCACCGAATATTTCTGCTTTTACAGTAATAATTATGCTTATGCAGACCAAATGAACCCAGCCTATCCCGGGTCGGAGTGCACCTTCCTGATTTCTTTCAGCGAGGTTCACACACCCTCTCACTGTGACCGCGTCCACACACACCTTCCCAACCGGGTCCACACACCCTCTCAACCGGGTCCATACACCCTCTCAACCGGGGTCCCACACCCTCTCAACCGGGGTCCCACACCCTCTCAACCGGGGTCCCACACCCTCTCAACCGGGGTCCCACACCCTCTCAACCGGGGTCCCACACCCTCTCAACCGGGGTCCCACACCCTCTCAACCAGGTCCAGACATCCTCTCAACCGGGGTCCCACACCCAATCAACCGGGACCCACACCCTATCAACCGGGGCCCAACACCCTCTCAACCAGGTCCACACACCCTCTCAACCAGGTCCACGCACCCTCTCAACCGGATCCACACACCATCTCAACCGGGGCCCAACATCCTCTCAACCGGGGCCCAACACCCTCTCAACCAGGTCCAGACATCCTCTCAACCGGGGTCCCACATCCTATCAACAGGGACCCACACCCTCTCAACTGGGGCCCAACACCCTCTCAACCAGGTCCACACACCCTCTCAACCAGGTCCACACACCCTCTCAACCAGGTCCACACACCCTCTCAACCGGATCCACACACCATCTCAACCGGGGCCCAACGCCCTCTCAACCAGGGCCCAACACCCTCTCAACCGGGTCCACACACCCTCTCAACCGGGGCCCAACACCCTCTCAAGCGGGTCCACACACCCTCTAAAGCGGGTCCACACACCCTCTCAAGCGGTACCACACACTTTGCATGTTCGACACACCTGACTAACTTGCAACCGCCGTCTGGAATGCATGTCAAGCACACCCAGCATACTACTGTAAGATCAGATATTTTAACATCAATTAAAGTTCACGATCTCCGGAATTTTGTTGGTTAGCGAGGTGAAATTCTAACGAATTTTGTCTCAAAACTGGCAAATGACTGTACATGTACATATCGTTTGCACATAACGATTTCTTTTAATTCGTCAAATCATTAGAATTAAAAAATGTTCGTTTACATTACTGCTCTTAAAGTACTCATGCAAGTGTTAAAGTATTGATAGGCACAAGGGACAGTACAGACAGCAGCCATTACACACACGCACACACACACACACACACACACACACACACACTTACACACACTTACACACACATGCACACACACACGCACACACACACACACACACACACACACACAAATACACACACACACACATGCGCACACGCACACACACACACACACACACACACACACACGTCACAGAATCCACGGGCATTACCTATGGCGGTGCACACTAGTTCAGTGCAGTTGAGATTGCCCATCCTCCAGGAGCGAGATTCTGCAAACGTACCCCCGCTCAGCACTTGTTCATTGACGTTATTGTCTTGGTTGTGGTCTAATGTATGCACAACTGAGGACACACAACACATGTACCGTAATCTCACGCATTTAAGGACATATTCTTATTTTCGAATAATAAGACCACTCTCGCTTACATTGCATAAGAAGAAGCTCTTATTATATATTAAGCTCTTATACGTGAATGAAAATCACAAAAGCACACAAGGTTCATCATGATTCCATTGGTCTGCCCTACACCAATGATATGCGTACTTGCACATGTACATGTCGATGCCATGTTTGTCTCTGGCATATAAGACCATGGTCTTAGAATCGAACGAAAATGCACTTGTGTGAAAGGACAGAAAACAGCAACTTTTCGATTATTATGCGCGAAATTACGGTACAAATACAAAATAATGCAAGCACAGGTCTCATTCCGTCCCTGTACACTATGGTTTCACCGTGGAAACGTGTGAGTGAGTGGGTGCACGGGCAGGTGTGTGGGTGGGTGCATTGGTGGGTGCGTGTTTGGGTGCGTGGGTGGATGCATGGATGGGTGCTTGAGTGGGTGCATGGGGGGGGGGGGAGTGTGTGCGTGAGCAGGTGGCTGGGTGCGTGGATGAATGCATGGGCAGATGCACGGGCAAGTGGGTGGGTGGGGTGAGTGCATGGGTGGGGGCGTGGGTGGGTATGTTCTTACAGACTATCACTGCTAATTGATACCTCTGAGCTGGCAGCTGACGTGCTGTCAAGACAAGACCTTCAGCATGCAGCGCCGCCACAACTAATGACAACTTCGGCCTGCGTACGCGGGCCTAAAACTGTGCAGCCCTTCAGTTTCTCGAAAGTTTGAAAACTGGGCAATGTGAGATTTCTACCCCGACCCGCTCACACTGGCTGAGCGTGGTATTGTCCAGGGGACTGTCACAAGGGCCACTGGTATATTGCTATGTTCTGTGGTATGTTGGGATAGGTAGTACAGTCCACTACGCTTATAACGACACTCGGCGGGGCATCAAAAAAGTGTCCTTATTCGCGAAGTGCCGTTATACCCGAAGTCTCATTATATGTATGGAGGTAGAATGTACTTTGCCCTGGCATGGACATTCAGTCGTTATTCGCGAATTGTCGTTATATCCACAGTCGCTATTAGGGAAGTTGACCGTACCACAAAATCATCAACACTAAGTCCACTTTCCTGTTCCCCCGAGCCATGATGACACGTCCTTTCAGAACTCCACTGTATTAGTTCCTGTGTTGTTGAGCCTTGGACTACACATGCGACTATAGTTCGTGAAATTCTAGTCTGTGTTCGTTCCTCAGCACACCAATCTGCAGCACCTGACAGTGACTTAGAGCTGCAATAGCACTTACACCTGTCGAGTTGGTCTCGAGACAAGGACAGCTGTCTGTACGCCGAGTAGCCGTTGCTGTCTGCAACCTCGCAGCGATACGTGCCCGTGTGGATGTTCAGGTCGACGTTGCAGATGAGCAGAGATCCTGGAGCAAGACATTGGTAGACATAGGTCGTACCGATAAGCATACAAGAGCACGAAAGATCATAAGATTTCCTCGACTCAAACACTCAATCATCGTGTCACCCCGATAATCTGTCAGGCCGGAGAACTGGCCGAAGTGGAGTTTGCGAGTACTTTGGCCTGAAGGTCCACATTACAAGGATGCGGAGATCCTGCATCAGGACTTGATCCTGGTACCTTCAGCTACTCACTCAACGAAATCCGATTGCATGAGTCAAGTTCGCGACGGGCGTTGTGCAGTCCTAGACCGGCGAACACTGCGATGCGCACTGGCGCAGTGCGTAAACTTGACGAACACAATCGGCTTCGGCTGAGCAGTACCGTATTGCTTAATACAAGAGAGACATTGTGCTCATGTATGAACTCCATACATTAAAAAAGTTTTGAAAAGTGTATCAAGGGTCACAAATCCAGTAATGCAAGTTCACAGATGGAACAAAAAATACATCAGAGAGCCAGAAAGAGCTGATAGCGGCCCGGTTAGTTGTAGAACACCAGTACTGTCGGTCAGTTCTGTGCAATGTTACTGTATGAGCTGACTGTCAAGTATTGTGGTGTTAGTGGACATTATAGCGAAACTTGTAGTTCCTTGGTCCTTCTTCTGTACTATAAGCCAGAAAGAAGCGTCCCACTATGGAGAAAAAAACAGGACCTATAAAACCCGTGCTGTTGCCTGGGTGCAGCTACTACAACACATTGTAAACCAGGGAGTAGCAAAATAAGTACTCCTTTATCTGAACAAGAAGGATCAAGCAAGGCTGCACAAGTTCCCTACCCGATTCTTGAGGTGTGATGCTAGGAAACCTAGCGCTCGTCCACTCCACTCCATTGATATAATAGGATGTGATCCAAGGCTTGCTGGACTCAGGCCCGTCAATGCGACAGTTCAACTCAGCGCAGTTTCCGTCTGCCGCACTCAGCCAAGATTGTACAGGTCCGGACTCATAGCTCACTGTGTGTGTGTGCATGTGTGTGCGTGTGTGAATGCGGGAGCGCACGAGTGAGAGTGAGTGTGAGAGAGAGAGAGGGAGGGAGACAGAGAGCGGCAGAGGGGGGGGGGGAGAGAGAGAGAGAGAGAGAGAGAGAGAGAGAGAGAGAGAGAGAGAGAGAGAGAGAGAGAGAGAGAGAGAGAGAGAGAGAGAGAGAGAGAGAGAGACAGACAGACCGACAGACAGACAGACAGACAGACAGACAGACAGACAGAGACAGAAAGAGAAATATAGTGAGAGAGTACACATATGCATGGGCGTGTGTGTGTATGTGTGTGTGTGTGTGTGTATGTGTGTGTGTGTGTGTGTGTGTGTGTGTGTGTGTGTGTGTGTGTGTGTGTCCGCAGGAGTGTTTGCAGGATGAAATAGAACAAAGTCAACATGACTTGTCAGAAAGTGATATAACGTCTTCTGGGATTTTCAGTGTGATCACGACAAGTTCGATTGTAATTGACCTATAAAGACTGCTAGTAAGTGACAGAGAAAAGAGTCATGAACAAGACCATTAGACTGTGCACAGGGAATGGTGGGCATTGCAGCGGTCTAAGTCATGTTCTAGAAAATTACTGTAGCCAACACGGCTGTCAGCTGAGCTTGGTCTAGCCCACTGGTACAGCAACCTTACGTGACCTCTACAGTCAGACCTCCCTTATCCGGTCCTCTTTTATCCGGTCCTCTTTTATCCGGTCCTCTTTATCCGGTCCTCTTTATCCGGTCCTCTTTATCCGGTCCTCTTTTATCCGGTCCTCTTTTATCCGGTCCTCTTTATCCGGTCCTCTTTTATCCGAATCCTTCGCCATCCGGTGGAAAATCGCTGGTTGCTGATTTACAGCACATGGCATGCATACATACAGTATGTGCGTTCGATTATCCGCTTCCCTCGCCTGTCCGGATATTTTTGTGGAAAACGGATGTGTGCGGTTAAGCAAGGTCTGACTGAACCATTAATAATTGTCGCTGCTCTTTCCCGCATCAGTTCTCTTTCACCGGCGAAATATCTTTTTTCCTTCACCGTGCGCCGGGAAAATGATTTTTGCAACAAAGAGATGCAGAATTTGTGCGAACCTTCACTGTGAGTATGTTTTAAAAGACTGACAAAACATGGAAATGGCAGCGACGGAGTGTGCAATTTCTGAAAAGAAGCTTTTTCTTCCGTCTGTTAGAAATGTCTTCATTCATGTACAGTGTGTACATGATAGTGAGCAATAGTATTTTAGCGGTCAATACACCTGCTGTGCGCACGTAAACGTATCTTTAGGGCCCATTGCAAAGACAGAAGTACTGAAGTAGCAAAAAAGCGGATATCTGTAAGAGCTAATTGTCTCAAAGTGTGGACTGGAAGGTCATGTGCGGCTCTATCATGTCTATGCTGTTTGGCACAAGAGAGAACTCTTCAGGGCCATAGCTGACAGGCTGTGGACCATCGGCTAGAGGCAGGACGGCACATACATGGACATCATGTTGATAGATTGTCTTGCGTGCACTGCTGACTTACCTTGCTACAGAGTAGAGATGAAGGTCGAGAGTTCATAACGGAAGAAAACACAGAATAGCAAACCACATACGCAGTCCAAAGTGAGATAGCGGTATGCTAACGTGACGGACACACCGAGCGATACCTTACTGCAGAAACGAGTTTGACCAGCAGGACAACTCCAAGAAAGGTGAACATTTCCGCAACCCTAAAGCACGTGCCCGGCCCCCTCGACGTCGTTGCTTCCGTCTTCACCTTCCCCGCTGATGTTTCCGGAGGCAGAGTTGGACTAAATCGACGGTGCCTGAGTACATGTGCACTAGGCTCTGGTCAAACTCCGCAAATGGTAAAATACCGAGTCGGAGTAGAATTCGAGGTGCACGGCACAAATAATTAGGCCCGGCAGAGGTCTAGTGGTGCAAGTACAAAGCTGTCCTGGAAAAGCGTGCCGACTGGATCCTAGCCTAGGAGCAGTAGGACCACACTCCACAGTGCAGACTGCTGGTCGTGGAAAAATATTCGCATCAACTGGGTGCCGCTGACGATAGCGTTACTACACTGTGACTGTAGCTGGCAAGTGGCGTGGTTCTGTCGAAAGTATCTACGCCGAAAGTATCTACGCCGAAAGCATGAATCCAGGACCATGGATCCATACAAGCTCAGGACCATGGATCCATACAAGCTCGGGAGTCTGGTGGTCAGCAGCATGCACACCACACACGCGACCCAACGAGCAAGGACGGACTGTCGATCTACTTACACACTTTTTTTGTAGTCTTTGCCACCAGCCTAGCCTGGACCGCGGTCCGTGTTCAAGTGTTCCTCTACACCAGTCACCAGCCTAGTGACGTGACCAGGTGAACGAACCAGTCGGTGCTCTCACTCTCCGCAGCACAGAGCGAGTTGGAGACGCGAAGTGGTTGCGCGGTTTTCGAGGAGTTCAAGTAGATCTACACGCGAGTTGAAGTCCCTTAGATCACTATCAGGAGTTCTTATGACTTTATCGTAACACTACTCGCAGACCAGGTGGTTAGCTTCAGCCATAGTCCATAGCTGTGCTGGAGGGTCACAGCACTTCTTGCTGTAATTCCATCCACTAGATATCCGTGTAGGGACACTTCACGATAAGCTAGGCCGCACACTTTCCGCTCCTGCAGCTGGGGACACGAAGCTCGAAGACAGGCTACATGGACTTGATATGTCCGAGAAGGGAAACAGAGCGTTGTTGCTGTCACATGTGCACTATGATTATGGTATGCGTATAATTATAATCACGAGTATCTACACAACACCTCTAGACATCCATCCTTTGCGGCTTTGGTCCTGTCTGGTGTTGATCGTATACTTTCATTCGGAGCCGCATACAAGTGCATGCATGTTAGTACTACATCTACGCTACTGTAAAATTTGTTCAACAACATCCTGAAATGTGTCTCACGTTCGTGCCTTCTCTTCAGGTGATAGATATACAGAACAATGAGATAACAATGCTTCCGTTTGCATTGCTCTACTTTAAAAGAAGGTACAGCAAAGGGGTGATGAATTAGCGCAAAGAACAATAACTAAAAGAAGTCTCGAGAAGTATAGCTAAAACAGCAATGACAAATGCGTGACCCATTCTTATTCACTAGGCCTTTGCGGATAATGCCGCCAGAAAAATTGGCAGAATTCGGTGCTTTTTCTGGTAAGTTTCATGCATGTTTGGTATGTGGATAAAGAAATGGAGCAGAATTCGAGGAATTGCCCGCCATAAGGTTTGTATGGTTCTGCCAATTTCACTGCTTTTCGAGCAGAATCCGCCGATGCCTATTATTCACCATCATTGTTTCTCTCAACTTACGTTGTAGATGCAGTTTTCAACGGTGTGGGTCCATACACATTTTGGTTACACACTTCGCATTCTTCTCTTTGTTTATACATGTAGTTTGATACAGATGCAGGTTTGCCAAGTCGCCGGTTCAATGGACTTCTCACATGCACAGGATGACAGTAGTGAGCCAGTCTATTAGACAGGGCTAGCATTTTGCCGTTCACCCTAACGTCGTCTGTACCATTATTATATTAATTTTTGTGTGTTTTCTGACACATGCAATGATCGGCTTGTAACGTCACCATTACGCCTAGTTGGAATATTATCTTACCCTTTCGTTCTCCTGGTAAACGGAACCTTCTATCGTCGAAACGATACAAAACCGACGGTATTGTGGAGGCTGGGTACGATTTAGCGTAAACAGTACAATGCTAACCATATCTGGTATTATTATCTACTGTCAAGGCCTGGCTGACCGGAAAACCGCGGGCTAGAACCTTGCGTTGAGGTCGCCATCACCAATTTTTCCGAAACAATGTGAAATGTAAAACATCCGGATGATGCCGGATAGGGGTAAGCGCGGATTATGCCGGCATAATTTTTGCCATAATCAGGTCCTTTTGGAGAGGGAGCATAAAATGGCATCCGAAAAACAAGGGCAGATGCCCAATGAGGCTGCTATACACACCTGCTATTGAAGGCATAATTGAAGGCATAATCAGGTCCTTTTTGAGACGAAGCATTACAATTTAATGGCATCCGAAAAACAAGGGCAGGTACCCAATGAGGCTGCTATATACACACATGCTATTGAAGGACCATACATAGCCCTTCTTGTCGATTTGGAATAATATTCTAGCAGCCACTATAGGACATCTCGCAAAAGTTGACCGTTCGCTTGCGAATTTGGTATGCATCTTGCATATTACCGTACTAGGAGTGTCTTGTACTTCCACAAAGCTCCCAGTCCACATCATGACAATGGTCTGAGCTGAGTCATTTTGTCATGACGATTACCCATATCTGTTCTTTTGGTCTCTTGGTAAAGCATATAAACGCATAATTGGCTGTTTTCTCGAGCATCATGCGAGCATCCGCTAGAGCATAATCTGGTCATTTCCCGAGCATAATCCGCTTACCCCTAATGCCGGACAAGGCAAGAATCGTCGGAGCTAGGTTTATTCTGTAGTTTAGTTAATTTTCATCCCGATATGCTGAGCTCCAAGTCACCTACCATCAAAACCGTTTTCTATAGGTTCAGGCCCATTGAGCTAAAACAACTCATAACGCAGATAACAATGCTGTATGTAGTATTGTACAAACGACAACGACCACAACGACGACAATAACGACGATGAAGACTTCGACAACAACGACAACAACACATCAGGAACATCTTGAATTATGTACTTTAGTAGTTTAATACAGCAGACGTGAAAAGGTACTGGCTGCACGAATGCAATGTAGTACAGTCATATAAATGTACGTCTTGCAGTGATGACGTCGAGACACGCTTCCAGATAATTATTATTCTATCTCTTCTATATGATGCCCTTAGCGTTCGTTGATAGCCTAGCCTTAGCCAAGGGTACACGTGATCACATATCGTACAGCCCGGCACAGACCAAATTAACGATGGTGATCATTGATATTTAGAAGAAGAAAAAGGACCAAAGAGCTACAAGTTACGCTATAATTATTTACTGCTAACACCACCACCAGTACGTCAGTTCCGTTGGTCAGTGTCGTGCAATGGTTATCGCATGAGCTGATTGCCGGTAAAGTAACTAGTGGTGCCAGTGGATACTTCTAGCGTAACTTGTAGCTCTTTGGTCCTTTTTTCTTCTTATAATTAATCCTTGGCTCTCCACCCGAGTCTACCTATCATTGACATTGATGACAGAAAATGTACCAGTTTGTTGTGTGCAGTCTGACATAATGGCGGGAAGCAAGGCACGAATTCATGAATTACATTAATACCCATAAATGTATGAACAAAGTTTAAAAATATTAACTGGTTTAAGGGAAAGACACAGACGGAAAAAGCCTGAAGAATTTTTTTAAAGTGTTAAAAGTTGAATATTGTCCTGGCGATGTGATGAAGAAAAGGAATAGCTGTTCGTAGGGTTAAGGCTATGGAGTGACTGATAATTCAGCAAAATAATAGTATTAATGCATCACAGTAAAACCAATCAAGGCAACCACTCGAAAAAGGCCCCAAAGACCACTGCAACCAGCACCAAAGGATGCTAATAATGACCCTGGATAAGGAGACCACCTGGTAGCAGAGACCATGTTTTGAAGGTTCCTTGAGCGGTTGGCTTAGACGGGTTTTGCTGCAATTGTTTTTTTTCTAGGCAGAAGAGTCACTTAATGCCGTGCATGTTAGGGGATTTCCCCCGTAAGTCTAGAAAGCCAGTTCTACAGCTTGGCCAAAATGGATTGGCTATATTCAAAGGTCACTGTTCTGTTCTGATTCTGGCGGATGCTAGGGTGCCGTCGGCTACTGGCATGGTCGAACCAGACTGCGCACGCCACTCAGCTTGTTCTCGCAGGCTGCAATGCAGAAAGAATCAGAACAGCGATACGATATTCGGATCAACACCACCCAGTGAAGAATAGCCTTTGGCGGATTAATACTCGAAGAATTGCCAGATTTTGCTCGAAAAATTGGGAGATTCTGCTCGAAATGCAGTGAAATCATGGCAGAAACATACTACGTTTATGGCAGGCACTCCCTTGAATTCTGCTCCATGTCTATATCCATATACAGGTCTGCTCTCGATATAACAACTCTCACTTGTACATAAACCTCGCTAGTACATAAAAAAATCAAATCCCGCGCCGAAACAGCATCACTCTCATACAAATTTTGTTCTACACAACATAATCCTACATAGCATAAACCTCGACATAACACACGCTACGGCGCGGTCCCCGACGTGCACACTCTCGATACAACATAAATTCACTTGCACGGTACGATCAAGCGGTAGCTGTAGCTTAGCAGTTAAGGCCAGTTTAGTCCTACATAACGTAAACCTCGGCATAACGCACCCAATGGCACGTTCCCGACGTGTGCACTCTCGATACAACGTAGATTCACGTGCGCGGTACAATCAAGCTCTAACGGTAGCTAGCCAGTTTAGTCCTATTGTGCATATATTCTGCGGCATTGATGGCATCTGATGTCGATGGTGGTACAGTGTGTATATGTTTGCACGGTTGAACCCGCCTTGTAATACCCTTCATTTTGAGGTACATCTTGTATTTTACACACGGTTTTCTACATAACATAACTCTCGATATAACATAATTCGTGCGTGGTCCCAGAGATTACGTTATATGGAGAGTAGACCTGTACCTGACATGTCACATGCATGAAACATACCAAAAAAGGTACCAAACCCTGCCAATTTTCGTCAATCATGTCCATTTCTGGTCAAGCACCCTATCCGGGCGGGCCACCTGAGGTCCCCATTCTACGACCCTGCCAGAATACAACGCAATGAATCGATACAATCATTCTGGCTAAGTTGTACTCAACTCAACCAGCACAACTGATATGAGGGCTACACAAGACACACACGATAACGGTACGGGTCATGTCGAGTGAATCCGTGCTACAAGCCATGCAGAAATCAGCACTGCCCGAATGAGAACTAGAGTGGGCAGTACCAGAACTAAACACCGCCCCTGCTCCCTAAATTTCACTTTCTCTCCAAACACAGTGCGGCCGAGTTTGCAAACTCTTCACTGACAGGCAGACAGACAGACAGACAGACAGACAGACAGACAGACAGACAGACAGAAAGACAGACAGACAGACAGACAGACAGACCGACAGACAGACAGACACAGAGAGAGACACAGAGTAAGTGCGAGAGAGAAAAGAGAGAGAAAGAGAGAGAAAGCAAGATATCGATATATGCAGGCCAGTCCAAGAAAACAATTCTTCTTACTCGCCAAGGCTGCGCTAGCCCTGTTGTCCTTATCTTCACTGGGTGCGAGCCGTGATGGTGTGGCTGCCTGCTCACTGCGCTGCAAGGCCTTGCATACACACACACACAAAAGACAGGAGTTAGAAATACTTTTAAAAATCATCTTAGCCTGCGTTGTCTTCACATCAGTGCACACTGTGTGGGTCTCTCCACGTGAAATGAGCTTGCGCAACAACCTTACAAACACAGCGCAATATGCCCATGTGAATCCCGTGCAGGCACCGGCAGTAACCAGTATCACCGTCAGCCTTCGCCGCGGAACACCTCAATGATGTATGCATGCGTGACCCATGCGGTTGAAGAGAATTCAGATCGCTGTTTATGCACAACAGCCACATGATTGTGTATATGGACGTGACTGCACTTCTGTCGCCTATAAACTTTAGTCAGGCAATGTTGTCGTTGCCGAGCTTCCAAAGGTGTATAGAAAATCACAATGATGCAGAACACCCGTGTTGGCTTCAGTCACGCAACTGACCCCACATTACGCCGAATACCCACCTCAGCCACCCCCGACTTACCCCTCTCATCTGATCCTGCAAGGCCTGGAGAGCAGCCCTGAGGTCCCTGTTCTCTTGGGTTGCTATCCTCAGCTGCGACTGAGCCGTGGCCAGTTCACCTTGTACGCCGCGCATGTCTGCATATAGCAGTGAGACACAGGGCAAATGACAATCGTAAACTTGAAACACTGTAAAATAAATATCCACACTTTACATCTTAATAAAACCTTTATAACAATCAGTCATGTCGCTTCAGTTGACTCTGTTTATTGCCATTTTAAAAGCGTAAAAATAAAGCAACCTGGTGAGCTGTACCAGTGAACAGATTAACCTACCGCTAGTCATGAGAAAACATCATAAACGGTGCAGTTGCCAGAAACACAGCAGTATTGCAGGGATGGTGTGACCGATCCAGTTGGTCAGGCCATGGCCCGGCCAACCATTTGCCCACCAGAGCATGTGTTCGCTGCTGAGGAAACCCACCCACTGTCACCCAGTCTGACTCACCGCACGTAGTCTCGACAGGTGTTGACATCATCTCCCTCAGCTCTGCACAGTGTACACAACGGAGAGCACACAAGAAGATTAACTAGGGAGGGTAGGTGTGGTGAAATTAACCAACACCATGTTTCACCCCCCCCCCCCTGTATATGACCGTATGATTGATCTCGTTACGCTGGTGGACAGTTAGTCAGATATCGTACCATTGTGTCCTTCTCCTTTTCATTCATATGATTACATTGGCTCACCAAAACAATCCATGGTTCGCGCGAGACTCGGCTGAAAGCGGAGTTCTCCGCATCCATAGGAACGCCACCACCTTCTAGGATCAAGGCGCAGATTCAGCTCCTAACCGGTGGGAGGTGAGTAGATCAGACCCACCACAAAGTGGTCAAAGACGGAAATCCCATTCACTGCATCCATGTTGGCTCTCAATCCAAGTTCAAAAAAAGTATGTGTTTGTGCTAGTGACACTATACCATGCATGAGTCATGTAACCGTCATACCTGATGCCGACACCTGCTTGCGGTAGGTCTTGTACGACGGGTACGCCGTGCACTGGTACAGCCCGCTGTCGCTGTTGTAGTCCACGTCGCAGTTCTTGATGTCTCCGTTCACCTGTTGCTGGTAGTGAGGCACGAGGGAGGGATTGCGGCCGTTGATGCGCAAGAAGTGCTGCGTGCTGCGGGTTTGTCCCAGAGACGTGCACCTGAAATCCGCACATTGCCGCATCGGAACAAAACATGAAATGATAAGAAATTACGAATGCAATGAACAAAACTAGATGTGCACTCATATCACAACCGTAGCGACGAATAAAGTATTCCAGAACGTTTTCTTGTCACAATTATCAATGGAATTCGTGACCTAAATTAAGAGAATGATGAACTGCAATAGGATTTTTTTTCATTGCATTATTTTTTTATTACAGGGTGCGACAGAGCTCTCGGCCATTGAAGAAAATGTTGAGTCACCTCCACCATTACACTGCGCTCTTTAGCCAACTAGACCCTCCTGCACATAACCATCACCATTGCGAGGACACTTCCCTAGACGATGTTGATAAACTCCTTCAGACAGCTGTTTTGCTAATACATAGCTCATCAGTGAAGGTAGATGTTGAATGATTGAAAATATAGACCAAACTGCTATTATATAGGGGATTGCCACATACAAAACTGGCATAGCTGAGGTGATAACGCGGGAAAAAGGAAAGTGTGAAGTACTGTTGACGCGCATTGGACATGCATGCAGCGTCGGAAAGTCGGCGCGGAAAATCAATCACTATTCAATGCAGAAATAACGTGCCAGAATCAGAGTAGAGAGTACTATGTAGCTAGTGAGAGTCTGAGTACTAGTATTGCAGTTGTCTGAGCGCCATGAAGGCCTGCGAACGCACCTCACGACCCGCCGACGTCGACAGCCACAGCAGCCCCTGGGGCATGACACTGTACTGCTCGCCCGTCGCGCCAAGACGCTTGGCAGTCACTAGGCTTCATGCCATCGATGTTGTCTGCAAGCTACCTTGTTATTTGCCCATCACCCACTGCCGCTGACACGCTGGGAGGCCCCGCGGCATTCGCCTAGTATATCGTCGTCAGAGCTGTGTCGACGGTCCAATAACGCTGGTAGAAACAAACAGTTGGTCGTATGGTATTGCGTCCTTCGGATTGTCCCTTGACTCGTCTTGTCCCTCTTCTTGCTCTGACGCTAACGGCGCACGTATCATAATTATTATTACAGGGTGCGACAGAGCTCTCGGCCATTAAAAACAATGTTGAGTCACCTCCACCATTACACTGCGCTCTTTAGCCGACTAGACTGTCCTGCACACAACCATCACCATTGCGAGGACACTTCCGTAGACGATATTGATAAACTCCTTCAGACAGCTGTTTCGCTAATACATAGCTCATCATCGCATTATTTTTAGGTAAAAGAAAACTGCCCCACACGTGATCCATCAGCTCAAACGCGGGAAGTCTAGCTTAAAAGATTATTGTCTCCACGTCGCCTTTTTCATATTTCGAAATGAAAAGACATACTGATTCTGACACCAATGGTCAGTGGAGTGCCTGCAGACAGACCAACAAGGCTTCCCTGTAGCACCCACCCTCCCAGTGTTCTCTATTGTCCTTTTTCATGTTCACCCGTTTCTCCTTTCCCTTTCCAGGTGGTGCGGTGATATTGAAGTAAAAACGAGAGAGCTTGGAAGCTCAGGGCCCTGCGCTATGCTTTGTTGCCTAGCTCATCGTGCATGTTGTTAGAACTGATGGAAATGCTTTTTCCTTTGATTAGCTACATCATTGTATTGCAAAAACGTTTCAATGAGATACTGAAGTACAAGTAACGTCTTCTGCACAGCTATGGGACCGGCGCTGACTCTGCCGATCACGGGCGTTCTGGAGTCGACGGGATGTCTGTCCTGACGTTTCCTGGGACCGGCGCTGACTCTGCCGATCACGGGCATTCTTCTTCTTCTTATTATTATACGGACGGAAACTAACATCCATTCTGATTGCATTTACTCGTCTCCCTACTTCGTATTTTTTTTCAGAAAATCTCCCCATACAGCAGGGAGTTGTTTACATAATATGACTCCCTGCTATAGATCTACATGACTGTATATACGTTATAATTATTATGCTACCGGCCTACATGCGATTCCCGGGCTGGTTGACAGGCGGCCCAGCCAGCCTGCTAGTGGGATCTCGGCCTCGCACACAAATCCACACAAAATGTTGCTGCACTGAATGCATTCCCCCGATACACTTCGCATATATACTCATTCTCTTGATGGTACCGTACTCTTGATGGTACGGGACAGGTACGGGATAGCGCCAGGCATGTCGATGGCACAAACAAACAAAAATATTGTGGCCAGCTGTCTTTGCTGGTACGGTACAGTACGGGACAGATACGGGATAGCGCCAGGCGTGACACAAACAAACAAACACCAAATTAAAGCTGTGTGGACCCTGGCTAGCGCCAGACGTTACTGAAGTAACGTCTTCTGCATAGCTACGGGAATAAATAATAATAACCGTGCTTAGTGTGAACACAGTAACGAGCACGGGTGTTTTGGCCGAAACTGAAGTATGTTGGGGTACAGGCGCGTGCCCCGTATGGGTTCCTGGGTGCCCGGAACCCCCCTTTTTTCGCTCCAAATGCAGGATTTTGCTTCATTTTTTGAAATTTTCCGGGCGTCCCCGGACCCCCCCCCCCTTGAAGGGCACCGGCTCACGCGCCTGGTGTAAGACTGAGTACCTTGGCTACTCCGTACACTTTCCTACTTGCCATGGGAGTACGTATTAGCAGACTTACACTGTATTAGAGAGATTCTGAGCGAATCAAAGTGCGCTCACTTTGCATCTAATGCCCAAATTTATACTTAAAGTACCCAACTTCACTGGAAACGATCTCATGCAAACTGAACACAACCGGACCAAGTTGAGCCTGGGTTTGGGGGGAGGGGGCAGGGGGTTGAGGCGTACAGGTTGGGGTGGGGCAGGGGGTCGAGGCGTAGGGGGGGGGGGGGGGTCAGGGATGCGACAATATAACAACAACAGACGTACTTTACTACGAGGCAATTTTCTTCATCCATTGACAGGTGTATGCCGTACGAAGATGCCGACTCTTCCTGAAGGTTGGAAGCTGGTGTTGGCTGCACGCCTGAGCAAAACAAACATCATGCAGGCCACATTCTTCTTGGTGATAAGGTGATAACGTATTTGGACAATTCATAGGTATCATGGTGTTGCTTCATTCAATTTATAAGCCTGCAATCAGCATTTTTTTTCACCAAAACATTTCAGAGTTCTAGCCAAGGTGTGCGGGGGGGGGGGGGGGGGTAGGGGATGCAGAACCCCCTACTCACGTGTCACTTTTTGTGTTTTTTCATGCCATTCAACGAAAAATGTAGAAGAGAGAGCTCATAAAGGCCCATTTGCCTGGGGTGAGGTCAGGGGTTAGCCTCAGCACGTTGCATTTTTACAAGGCAAGACAATTTTGTGAAATGGAGAACATGGGTTTTGAGGTAACTGTTTTCCCATCCCCCACCCCCCCCCCCCCCCCCACACACACACACACACACTATTTGGACCTGGCTAGAACCCTGCATTCGAACCATACCCCAGAGTAATCACTGATCTTCGCCTATATACACACATGAACTCTTGCATGCACTCACATAGAGAGAGGGGGAGGGAGGGGGGGGGGGGGACAAAGACTTTTCATGCACACGATTTGCGCAAAAGCAGATTTCCTCATTGATAAATGTAAGAAAACAGTCATAGTGGCGAAATGAAAAACGCTTGGAGGCCAAATCTCGAAGTAATCTCGAGGGAGGGGACCACAGAATTATTGCAAACGGATTATTTGTCAATGGTGTTGCTAGTACTCACGCCGCGTGGACTCTGTGTGTTGGCAGATGTCAGTTGAGAAATCGTCATCCGGCACACCAGAATGCATGCACATCCACAGGAAATGCACACATCAAGACACAACAAACAATCTGTGCATCAGCTTCATTTCCTTCAGCACTGTATGCCGCCATTGTCCAACTAAGCCATCGCCTCAATATTGCAGAACACGCCCCCCCCCCCCCCCCAGCAAAAAGAACTAGGGGTGAAAGTTAGCACTGTGATCCCGAGTTCGAGTAATCTGATCTTCTCCGATCGAATATTCGAGTATTCGAGTATTCTTCATCATCTAAAAATTGCACACCAAGGGCCTTAAAATCGCATGATACAACCCTGATTGAACCGAGTGGCAGTCATATTTCTCGGATATATTGGTTGGTGGGTCATTTGGGCTCTCTCTCTACTCATGAACAAATGTTCACCACACAGTCTGCACATGAATATCTGCCGACTGCTGCTCTGAAACTGCAGATTTCTGTGGTAACTTCATGTACCATGTATGAACGAGTACTCTGATTTATTACGAGTACGATTACTATTGAAAAACTGAGCGAGTATTCGAGTATTCGGTATAATTGTTTCACCCTTAAAAAGAACCATGTTCGGAAGGGCTCTTTGTGTTTTTTGGTTGGGTAGGAGAGGGTATGGGATGGGATGGGAGAGGGTGGGGAGGAGTGAAAACTCCGATCATTATGACTTCAATGCTAGGGAGCTTAGGTACCTCGAGCACTCTCACAAACTGCCGCAACTCGCTCTGAGTCAAGCAAACATATCCAGAGCTATCACCTCAGTGCTGACACATTGTTATGCATGCAAAAGCGAACACACACATGAATAGCTAAGAAAAGGATACTTGTAAGATATCCAATTGCCCAGCATCCTTACATATACTAAGAAAGTTGCGGACGCCACCCAATTGCATTATGAAAGAAAATGGGGTTTGTCAACTGACAAGCGCTCCAATTAGTTACTATTCACAATCTGCACATGCGCTGCATTAAGTTAAAAATTATTTTATTGTGATGCTGAATATTATTGACGTTTCGGGCCAGTCACCCATCGCCAGAACAATCTACAAGGAGCGAACCTGGCCTTTTTGTAGCAAAAGCAAGCAAGAGCTCATAATTATATGTATCCTTACGTATGGTGATGTCCTTGAAAGCACGCGATCCATGGCGATTACTGGCCGAACAACGCATCAAGACACAACAAACAATCTGTGCATCAGCTTCATTTCCTTCAGCACTGTATGCCGCCATTGTCCAACTAAGCCATCGCCTCAATATTGCAGAACACGCCCCCCCCCCCCCCAGCAAAAAGAACTAGGGGTGAAAGTTAGCACTGTGATCCCGAGTTCGAGTAATCTGATCTTCTCCGATCGAATATTCGAGTATTCGAGTATTCTTCATCATCTAAAAATTGCACACCAAGGGCCTTAAAATCGCATGATACAACCCTGATTGAACCGAGTGGCAGTCATATTTCTCGGATATATTGGTTGGTGGGTCATTTGGGCTCTCTCTCTACTCATGAACAAATGTTCACCACACAGTCTGCACATGAATATCTGCCGACTGCTGCTCTGAAACTGCAGATTTCTGTGGTAACTTCATGTACCATGTATGAACGAGTACTCTGATTTATTACGAGTACGATTACTATTGAAAAACTGAGCGAGTATTCGAGTATTCGGTATAATTGTTTCACCCTTAAAAAGAACCATGTTCGGAAGGGCTCTTTGTGTTTTTTGGTTGGGTAGGAGAGGGTATGGGATGGGATGGGAGAGGGTGGGGAGGAGTGAAAACTCCGATCATTATGACTTCAATGCTAGGGAGCTTAGGTACCTCGAGCACTCTCACAAACTGCCGCAACTCGCTCTGAGTCAAGCAAACATATCCAGAGCTATCACCTCAGTGCTGACACATTGTTATGCATGCAAAAGCGAACACACACATGAATAGCTAAGAAAAGGATACTTGTAAGATATCCAATTGCCCAGCATCCTTACATATACTAAGAAAGTTGCGGACGCCACCCAATTGCATTATGAAAGAAAATGGGGTTTGTCAACTGACAAGCGCTCCAATTAGTTACTATTCACAATCTGCACATGCGCTGCATTAAGTTAAAAATTATTTTATTGTGATGCTGAATATTATTGACGTTTCGGGCCAGTCACCCATCGCCAGAACAATCTACAAGGAGCGAACCTGGCCTTTTTGTAGCAAAAGCAAGCAAGAGCTCATAATTATATGTATCCTTACGTATGGTGATGTCCTTGAAAGCACGCGATCCATGGCGATTACTGGCCGAACAACGGTAAGTGCCGCCCGGCAAAGAAGGGCCACAGTATCGGAAAGAGGTCTGGCTAAGTGAGGTGAATCCAGGCGGAAGAGATCCGCGATTGTAGGTCATCCGGTACGTCAGCGGTTGTGGAGCGCCTGTTTTCAAATGGAAAATAAAACAATTTTTTACATGGAACGTCAAAATAGGAGACAGTGCGGCACAAGTTATGCATTGCAGCCCACCAATTATACTGAGATCTTGAATATTATCAGATAAGCAAACTTTATCATGAAACTTAGAGCGACTATTGAGGTAGCTAATGTCACTATACTGTACTGGACATTCCCTAAAATATCTTGTTAGGCAGATTGAAGAAGACAAGAAGTCAAATAGTTGGCTAAGCAAAGTACGGTTTTTGGTGGTGATGGGGGGGGGGGGGAGGGAACCCATCACTTCAATGGCGGATGGTCAGGTTATAATGACTTGTAGCGTAGCGTTGGAATTGAAAATCAAAGTGCGGTTTTGTGGTTGTGATGATGGAGGAGGGGAGGGAGAGAAGGGGAATGCCCTTCTACGTTTCAGTCCTTTTACATATCTTACCATCCACTTGGCAGTTGAAAGTCGTGCAGCCTTGCGGTGAGGATGTGCGTGTGAAGTGTACCACCCTCACAAAGTTTTCCACAGGAGCAGCTATAGAATTCGGACACAAAGTACATGTATTTGAAGAAGAGAGAAAAGAAAGGATAAAGGGAACAACTCTGATCGTAGGAGCTGAAAGTTCCCGAAAGATTCTTGTTTCAGCCAGCTCAACAGAGTGAGGTTGGTGATTCTCCCCGACTTCCACTACCTGGGTCTCCCCAACTTGAAACTACCAGGGAGAGATGCACAATGCACACTGGAGCACAGCTAACATCACAGCAATAGTACTTCATGTACAGTGTGCTGTTGCGGGAGGGGGGGGGGGGGGCTGAAGAACGATTCAGACAAAGAATCCCATGGGCAGATACAGGTTACATAGTGGCTCAGTTCAACAGGAAAAATGGCGGGAATGTCGCTGATTGGTCGTTTCCTGGACAACGAGACAGACCTCGTTCTAAATTCATGTACAGTGTGTGCGCAACCGATGTGTTTATGCTGAGACATCCATAAACTAATACACAGTCATGTAGATACTCTGTACCGAGTCACATCACATGACAGTTATTGACTACGTCGACACTCTTTGAGATCGACCTGCGCAAGGAATTACATGTTGTGCAGGCTTTGGAAATTTCATTTTTCATTGTTATCACGTTCGGCCTCATTTTCTCTGTGCTGCGTGGATGAGTCCACAAAGGACGAAACAGATCTGTCCGCAGATTGAGTAGTTATGCAGGTGTACGATCCGCTACAAATCTGAACCCCCTGGAAATTCATGTGTGCATCAAAAGATCGTTATTACCGACTACCTTACCAACAGTGACGTCGATGCTCTTAGAGACCGACCTAGGCAAGGAATTGCTAGCCGTGCAGGTGTACGATCCGCCCAGGTTGGCCAGCGAGGTATTGCAGTGGGTCAGGACGTTGCCAGAGACAGTAATGCCTCGGTGCAGGAACGGAGACGGCACTGGAATTTCCTTGTAACGAAAGCGATAGCTCAGTGGCTCAGGGTGGCCTGCATGATATAGACAGCACACGTAACCATGGATACAACATGTCTGAGCATTAGCCTACTCTGGAGATAACTCCAGCTCACGACCAAACTGCCCAGGACTTCTTGGCGACACTGCGTGAGACATTCGCCACATAGAACCTGTTTTCAGGAGCTGGCATTTTGAGATCAGTGTGCATGCTGAGGAAGGTCTTCTTGGCTGAGCTTATGCGTGCGTGCGTGCACACACACACACACACACACACACACACACACACACGCACGCACGCACGCACACACGCACGCACGCACACACGCACACACTTGTACTTGCTCACTGCCAAAACTGGTCACGTGGGTCTCCCCGGGAGAGGGGAGAGAGACGCAAAAGAAATCTTGTTTTTTACACGCACATACACACACACACACACACACCTCAGACCTCAGACCTGCCCATCGCGGAAGCGATGATAGCGAACATCTATGTTAGACATAGCAACTTGTGCTGCACACACACACACGCACACATACATGCACACATATTATTACACACACAAACACACACATACACATACACACACACACGTGCACACCGCTTGCATTGCTTTGCATTAAACTTGATCATTGGTTACAACAGATCCTACTTTTCATAACAAGTAAAACTTTTTTCTATTGCGATGGATAGAGGATGTGCTTGACTGAATGCTATGCAAGACTCAACGGGCATTTTTACGAGCTAACGGAAATCACACTGCAGGCTTGACTAGATGCCAGGCCGCCCGCTCCTTAGTTTCGCAAAATGTTATTTCACGATACAGTCAGACCTCGCTTATCCGTTCCTCCTTTATCCAGATCCCTCGTCATCCAGCAGAAAATCGTTGGTTACCGATTTACAGCATATGCCATGCATACATGCAGTATGTGTGTTCAATTATCCGGTTCCCTCGCCTATCCGGGTATTTTTGTGGAAAACGGATGCGTGCGGTTAAGCGAGGTCTGGCTGAACAGTTTCTATGCTTTACCCTACCTGGCTGCAGACAGATGGAACTCTCTTCCACCAGGGTGTCGCCAGGCAGCTTCCTTTGAAACATTCAGTGGCATATTCCACGATCACCTAGGGTACCCCCTAGCAATACATAACGTCTGCGGGGTCTGCCTTGGTGAAACAACAGATGCTACTACATGAGAAGTTTTCCTATAACAAATTGGGTGTCGTAAACTGGGTGATGCACGGGTTTGAAGAACTCGAAGAGTGCAAGCCAAGAAAGCAATGGTGACAAATCTGGTCCAGTAAAATAGAAAACATCAAATCAAATAGATAAAAAATCCAATTAGAACTCGGATGTTGTGTCAGGACGCCGCATGTCTCAGTTAGGCCTTGGCGGATAATGCTCGAAAAGGTGGCAGATTCTGCTTTTTTTGCACCGAAATTGGCAGAACCATACAAACCTTATGGCGGGCAATTCCTCGAATTCTGCTCCATTTCTTTATCCACATACCAAACATGCATGAAACTTACCAGAAAAAGTACCGAATTCTGCCAATTTTTCTGCCGGCATTATCCGCCAAGGCCTAGTCTCAGTACTCTGTCAGTTTTGTGCCTAGTTGTTGCACTTTCTGACTGTATATAGTAGGGCTGAAACCATTATACCGAATAATCAAGTACTCGTTTGATAACTCTAACGATCGAGCAATCGTTCAGATTACCGATTACGATTATTTTGCGTTTTTAAAAATTTAAATTTCTAATACTACATGTATATGAGCCAGAGCGCGCTAAAACATGACCACAGCTTTTTTTGAAAAAGTCGAGAAAATCGCGATTTGAATTCCGCGGCAAAAAAATACGAAGTGCAGTGCAACGCGAGTCGCTGTTGTTGTTCTCCTCGGTCGACTGGACTGTTCCGGATGCATTTCTTTGTTGCAAGTAAGTTTATTTGTTTGAGTTTGTATTCCATGTTGCGCTGAGTCGCCTAAAACTGGTCGTCATCGATGTATCGACGGAAGAGCCTAGTAGTAGTAATATACTGCGGAGCGGAAGAAGACGACATCCTCGCACTCCATGCGCAGGATAAAATATTTTGAGGACTCGGGTCGGAAACAGAAGGAAGACGATGATGGCTACAGCGACGAGTCATTTGAGGGCGACACTTTCATCGAGCGTAAAAGAATTGATGCTGGTAGTCACACGATCTGCAGTGACGAGGAATTCTACTCTGATGACAATCTGGCAAGCGATTGGCATCGACACTGACTTGGGAGGTGAGTCGGCCGATGATTTGGCCAGAATGGACATCGCTGCACATATCCGGGACAATGCCAGTATTGGTTGCAACTGCAAAAACAATCAATGGACTCTGCTGCTCCCTCAACTTGCTCAAGTCGATAATTTGAGTACCCTTATGCGGAACATCGCTAGCACGAGCAGTAGGCAGCGAAAGCAGTACTCTCTGGCGAGCGGAGAAAACCGTGTGCAGATGGGCTTTGGTGTGGGGAATATGAGTGCGACGTCGAGTATGTTGAGGAAGACGGTGTGCAGCAGTGTATATCGTATATCTGAAAGTACAGGTGGAGTGTGATGGAGAGGAAGTGGCGTGTCAACTTCTTCGTCCGTCTACAGATGTTGACCGTGTTTTCGCTGGCAGTTCTCCAGTGGTGCTCCAAACAGGAGGTATTTCGGACACCCAGCTCAGCTGCCATAGAAATTTTGGATGTGGCTGAGTACCTGTCAGCTCATGCTATAAGACCCTGGACAGAGGAACTGACCCGGAAAGGATGAACCAAGGAACATATCAGCAGTGTGCAAAAGTGACAATCCTATTGCTGTACATAGAATTTCTAAATTTCAACAGTGCTGCATATAATACCATTGTAGCAACACTTAGACATGTCAGATCAATCCAAAACTTTCAGACAGTGAACATTAGGTGTGTTTGATCATTTTTGAACAAAAAACTGAAAATCGAATTTTTGGTCTGTGGTCATATTTTAGCGTGCTCTGGCTCATATATACCTGATATACGCGAAGTGCAAAAAGCTTTCTCCTTACTCCGAGTTTCGTGTTCAAAAACACTCATCAGACGAACCTGTTAGGTCTACATATAGGTCTACATGAGTCACATTGATTGTAGTTTTTGTGCAAAATTTTGTACATATTTCCACTTTTGGCCATTCCACGTACATATTCCAGGTGCGGCCTCTTAAGGGGGCAGCCTACCCATAAATTCCATATGGCATTCAATTGACCGTAACTTTGGTGTTTCTCAGTGGATTCGAGTGAAATTTTGACCACACACTCCTGCCACTATGCTGGCCCTCAGGACATGATTTACAAGTTCTTGCGCCTCACTGACAGGCTTTCCAGGCCGGAAAAACTCAAATTTCCGGCATAGTGCCATGGTGTGCTAGCCACCCAGGAGCCAAACAAATGCATTTACAATTTTCACATTTTCGTGCCCATTCTGTCCGTGCGCGGGACCCAAACCTAAAACAAGTCCAGAAGCAGCCATGGGTGGTGGGGTAGGGCCCCTCAACGTGGCCCTGCAATCTGTCACAACGGAACGAGTGGGCGTTCTCTCACAGACTCCCACAGACCCAAGTCAATTTTTGAATTTTTTTAGGTTTAGCACGTGCTACGAGGTCGTACCTTTGATACAACATCCAGTGCTGGGACGTCCACAGCAAGCCATTTCCACAGCGCTGCACACCAAATCCAGGATACCCTCAGAAACCGGCAAAGACTACCACTCACGTTCCGCTACTGCCTAGTACTGAATCCTACCTGACTTTTTGACACGACTCAAACTTGCCAAAGTCACTAAATCAACGTCAACTACAATAATCAAGCCACATATCTGAAACGCCACGATGGTGCTGGCAAAAGTCCTGCTGCACATGGCTCAAAAACGTGATTTCTTGGACTTGGAGCAAAATTCTGCACACTTTCGCATGTTTCCATGATACGACAAGTTGCGCACGGTCTGCTCACATTCAAATACAGTGCTGCCAACAAATGACAGCGTGCAACAAAAAATCTTTCCTTGCAAGGGCACATTTTCGGCCATAATTCTTGAACAGCTGGTCAGATCGGGACACAATTTTCAGAGAATTTGCAGCTATTCATGCTCTTTCAACTGATGTAGCACTCGATATGAATTTACAAATTCGACTTTTCAGCGAATTTTTGGGTAGTCTGCCACCTTAAAGATTATAATCGAATAATCGATCGTTATGATAAAGAGTAATCGATTGGGCTAAATGGATGATCATTTCAGCCCTAGTAAGTAGTATATAGTATCTAGTTACAGTGATGGAGAGTTACTCCTAACTCGTATCCATAATGTCCTTTTCTTTTCTATAAATCCAATTGAAAAAAAAGAACCAAGTCAACTAGGAAATATCTATACTACAACTAGGACTTACGTACCTGTCGCCGTGCATCGCACCTCAATACAATACTGGTATCGCTGTCCGCGTTGCTGGCGATTCAAAGTTCTCAGGTCGGTGATCTCGATGAACGGGGCCGGCTCCCGCCTGCAAGAGATAGGTTCCACTAGTCCAGTGTATTGCTCCAGTAAGCCCGAGCGAACTGCATTTCAAGAACCGGTGATAGGATCAAATAGAACAGGACGAAAAAGTCACGGTTCTCGTGAGACTCTGCTAGAAGCCGAGTTTTCCGCATTCGCAGTAACGCCACCACCCTCTAGGATCAAGGCGCAGATGCAGCTCCTAAAGCGGTGTGAGATGAGTAGATCTGACCCACCACAAAGTGTTCGAAGACCGAAAATCCCATTCACGGCATGCATATGTCCCTCAAGCCAGGATACAGGGCAAACCACTCAGTATTCACTACTCTCACAGCACACTATTTTCAAATTTGATTTTTATAAATGGTGTGTATAATTGTTATACACACCATCAAGAAACTAGAGGCCACATGCCACGTACTGCTCTTTTCTCTCCGAAACTCAACACTTGCAAGCCAGATATGAAGGAAAGAAAAAATCATCAGTCACACCACCGGGACTCAAATCAGGGACCTTGCTATTCGCGAGCAATGCTCTAACCAACTGAGCTACAGTATGACTCTTATCCACAGTGATGGTAAATCTATCCTTCTTCGATCAATCCACATCTGGCTTGCATCATACTGGCAACTAACACCAATCAAGAGGTGTTAGTTGCCAGTATGATGCAAGCCAGATGTGGATTGATCGAAGAAGGATAGATTTACCATCACTGTGGATAAGAGTCATACTGTAGCTCAGTTGGTTAGAGCATTGCTCGCGAAAAGCAAGGTCCCTGGTTCGAGTCCCGGTGGTGTGACTGATGATTTTTTCTTTCTTTCATATCTGGCTTGCAAGTGTTGAGTTCCGGAAAGAAAAGAGCAGTACGCGTATACGTGGCATGTGGCCGCTAGTTTCCTAAAACTGAAATTCTTTGTGAAGTCCAAATTTGAAATTACCATCAAGAAACAATTTGTTTATTCTAACAAGCGTGAGTTTCGAAGTCTGAAGAAAATATTGAACGGTCTCTGCTCGAATAAGAGCTACACCACAGCTCAGTGCTTAGAGCATCGCTGGCCTCAAGCCAAGGTCCCTGATCCGAGTCCTGGTAGTTACAGTCAAAAATATGCTTCAGACTTTCCCATGTGTATTCCCTGTACTGTGTGAGTATTCGGCGAGTGTGTTCACAGTGTTGCAGACTCTGACAGTGCTCGTTGGCCTTACGTACATCTGCGAATGGCTGATCTTGTCACGGTGATCTCCTTGTACGCCCGGGAGCCCTGCGAGTTGCTGGCCTCGCAGCGATACTGGCCATGATGTCGGTTCTCATCCATGTTGCAGATGATCAGAGAGCCTGCAGTGCCAAATGTGTCCAGAATCACAGCAGAACATTGAGACACAGTGGAGCACACTCTCTAATACTAGTACAGCATACTCTGTTTCAATAGACACAAACAGGGCCGGTGTGTGCACTCTAATACTCTGCACACTTGTTTTGGGCAAGCATTGACCACTGAGGGCACGGATCTCGTCTCTCCCCCCCCCCCCCTTTCACCCTACCTCAACGTCTGTACTCTAGTCCTATCTTTGTCCTCCCCGCAATTTATTCATCTGCCTCGGATTTTTATTTACTTTATTTATTTCACCTTCCCGTGGCCAGGGAATGTGATAGGCCAATATGGAGGGAGGGGAGCGATAGCCAGCCATGGCAGCAAGCAAAAACAATGCAAAAAGACAATTTACAAGAGGCAATTACCTACACAGGGTGAGGCAAAGAGAAAAAATCTGAATGAAGAATTCGCAGTTATTAAAACTCAAACTTCATTTTGAATTTGAAATCCTTTAGCGTACAAGATGATTTTTTGACACTTAGTAGACTCCCCTGCTTCCCATGCGAAAACATCTCATCAGAGCTTTACGATGTACATGTGTTACATTTCAGGATTGCTGTCTGCCGTGAAACGAGGCAGATTTTTTGTTGTTGTACTGTATCGAATGCCGGTATTTTACTTCCGTGACTCACATACCTGCCAAGTACTGAGAGTGCTTTTTCTGGATCGCCATGGCAAAATCCCGGGATTTGCCTTGGTTTTTCGGGATATGTCGTATTTTTACCAAAAGAATCCTTTTTCAACTTTTGATGGCACCGACATTTCGATAATGGTGATCATCGGATCACACTTACACATGTTCACGACTTAACCCTTTGAAGCCCAAGGACGAGTATACTCGTCCCTAGTGATTTCCCAAGGACGAGTATACTCGTCCAAAACGCGCACTGTGTACACATTGAGCATAGATCACTGTACAAAGCTTCGTATCTCCGTTGTCCTTTCTTTGATTTTCACAAACGATAGCTTGTTGGAAAGGTAAGGAAAAGACCTTTCCAGCGGTGTGTCACTTGTGGCAGCGCGATGCGAAATACCCGAGCGACAAAGACCGGAACGCGGTTGAATACTTCTAAACTTTAGAATTTTGAAATTTTCGAGTAGAGCTCGCGTGCGCATGGGGTTTCCCCATGACTCATACCAGTGCAGCCCATGCGCGATGGGTACCAAGATGACCGCTTGAGCTTCAGCAGCACGGAGAACTTTGAATCGTTGTTTTGTGTTGAGTAAAAGTCATGAACCGAAGGAAATTGTCACTGTGGGTGGTGTATCTCGTTCAGGCGCGATAGAGCTGCACTCAAGGGACTTGGAGGCGCTTCTATTGCTTCTGCTTAGTGTCTAGTCTTTATCATTGGATGGAGGAGATCACAAGCTTTTCAGGGAGCTCCAGATCATGAAATTCCATTGCTGGTGAGTGAATTATGAAATTTTGAAGTCGACCATCCGTGGTTGCGTGCTGCGCGGTGCGAGTGCCTGGGAAATCAGAAAACCCAGCTGGGCTTCAAAGGGTTTTTAAAAAACGGAGGTTTTTCAGAGACTGCTCATGGAAGTAGATCCACTGGTACTGCAGGCTATGGCGGTCCGGGATCCACAAGGACAATTACTGGCCTGTGACAAGTCATTTGAAGTGCTCCAACTCCAAGTACAACTTGATATCAAGCTTGTTTCTTGTTCACTGAATTTCGGGATAATCGACAGGAATTTTGGGATCGCGGGAGTTCATCCAAAATTGCGGGATACTCCCGAAAAATCTGGATACTTGGCAGGTATGGACTCAGCAGTACAGAGTACTACTACAAAGAGGCCCGAAAACCGATCATACGGAGATAAAAGGAAAAAAAGGAGCAAACCAAAAACTAGATGAAGAGGTTCTAGGGTACCCCATTAACAAATAATGCATAAAATACGTACCAGAAAATGGTATAAGAACACTGCATTATGCTATCATCACCAAAAAAAACGGTCAATGCTGCACATGGTAGTCTACTTTCATGTGCAGCATTGACCGGATTATTTTGGCGACACCATGATAGTATAATGCAGGTAAATGTCATGCGTAAGCTATTGTCTCAATCCAGTTCCCGAAGTTGCTTCTTCCACATGCACAAATCCACTGAAGCCCATGTTCAAGTAGTAGCAGTGTCGTGTATCTGGGAATGAATCAACCTCCATCCAATACTACTTACCTTTTCTATCTGGGGTAATTTCGGGATGTCGTGCACAGCTGTACGCTTTATGACGAATCTGGTAGGAAATCTCCCAGCCGGGTGGGCCCAGCACGTGGCAATTCAGCATCAGACAGCTCGAGTTGATCTTGGTCAGCCATCTGCTGTACGGAACGTTTTGGAAGTTCAGTGACAGGCCTGCAGTGGCATGAGTAGAAATGCAGGAGCAGAAAGAACGACATTGACAGCGCCTGTGTCACAAAGCTGTACACTTTGGCATCAATTTTGACCCTTTTAGGAAGGCTTTGGGCTTCATCACGGTTTGGACCAAGAATCTCAAACATTTTCGCTACATCAGGATGTACAGGATATGCGGATCTTTTTGTTCAGTAGCTGATTGTTGCTTGGTGGCTTTATTACTATATTCACATACGTAGCTCGAAAACGATCATGAAAGACGATAATATTGGAACTAAGATAAACTAGACAGCTAGTGAACAGTGGCTATACCAAGACCCCGCTGCAGTGATGGTGGGGCATGTGGTAACAGTGGAGGAATGGTGTTTTTTAATTTTTTTTATTTATAATACTATTTTAATTCCGGTAATCACAAACCCAACTCGTAAAATAATTACGTGGGAAAAACAAACAGCTACTGAGTAGGGGCTGCACTGTACTGGGTAGCAGTGATGGTGAGGTGCCAGGGCCTCCACCGACCAAAGGTCTCGGTTTCAATGCGACAAGCACGCACCAGGATGGTGGGGCATTGATGTGGTGGCGGTGGTGGAATGGTGATGGTGCAGGCGCTGGTCACGGTTGGTACTATTTTTATACTGGCCGTGGGTCTGCTAGCGGGAGTTGGCTGTGTCAATAACCTTATAGACCATTGGTTAGAAGTCGGAACCGTCGCCATGCTTCCCTCAACTGCTGCCATTATTTTATTATACAACTCCGGGACAATCACATGGTCTCGGAGTCACGGAGAACCGAACCATTGCCCTTGTTTTTGTGCCTGTGGGTACGTGCATGACCAAGGCGAAATTGGAGATATCGACTTGCACAGCTGTTCTGGTTTTCTCAGACATGCTCTCTTAAATTCACTACAAGAGGATCCCTGTCCATTAAATTTTGTCTTCCTCAGGCAAAAATGCAAATACAAAATTGATACAAATGCAGGAGCGAAGGCTAACCTATCAGCGCGCCCCTAGCGCCTCTCCAGGCTTTCAATTCTTTTATTTTCGGCCAGTCCGCGGCTACTATACCTCTTTTTAGCCTTGGGGGTTAGATTGATTGCTACCCTCCTACTCCTAGGTTGTTGTCGCCTCGCCATTTGGTTCCTTCGAAGTAGTAAAACATTTTGTCTACATCATCAACGTTATATTACATGTTGCTGGCTGACAGCAGTCGTGTTGGGAAACAGTGACCTTACTCGTCTGACGAAGTTAAGCATCTAGGACTGACTCTCGATTCAACTTTAAGTTTCAGTGCCCACGTTAACTCCCTCAGGGAAGACATCGGAAAGAAACTAGGTGCTTTTCGACGTGGAAGGAGGAACCTTGCTGTCCAGGCCAGAAGGCAGTTCTACTTGTCAGTAGTCCAGAGCAAGGTCGAGTACGCCAGCACTACCTACGTCCACTGCCTCACTGACAATGTGAGAGAGCAGCTGCTACGCATAAGTAAGAGAGCACTTAGATGCATATTTGAGCATGAAACATTCACGCGGACATCAAACTTGCTTGAGCGATACCACATAATTAGCTTAGACAAAAGATATCATACTAAGTCCATATTCTTCGTGTTCCGTTGCATCCACAATATCTGCAGTTCACTACTCTCTGACATGTTCTCCCTTCGCCGTGACTGCGCTCACACAGACACATGTAGAGTAACCCGCGGGCAAGTCAATTATTCCCTTTCCTTACCCATTGTGCAAGCTCAAGCTGGATACAGATCTATTTCATTCCTTGGTGATGACCGCTTTAATGCGCTTCCCGAATCCTTTCGCACAAATCATATCCCCAATTCATTTCGCCAGGAACTTAACAATTATTTCATTCATCTTGGGCACCCTGTAAGAAGACCTTAGGGTCTGTTGGGAATGCCCAAGTAAAAAATAAAATACAATACAAAATACCTTACTACAACCTCTGTTGTTCACGGTGGTCTCCACCTTGTTACATGCAGTCAACCAGCAGCATGTCTCAATACAACAAGGTTTTTCTAGTACAGTGTATCATAGTGCTAGTTTCTGGCAGGGAGGGGGGGGGGGGCTATACACCAGGCACCAGTTTTTTGCACAGTCAAGAGGCTATATTTGGCCAGACACTCTGGTGCCTACAGCAGTGAAATTAGCCCGGATCATTACGATTTCCGTGTCGTCCGGGCATTGTTCCTTGACATGGTAGGAGTGACACGACACGAGATAGCAGCCTGTTCGCAGTCACTGCCTTCACTCAACACTGCCACAAATGGCTCATGCAATGGTGATCTCTGGAGCGCACTAGTGCTTGTACGCGAGTATTTTCCTGAACTCGATCCGATTAGGACTGGCATCGTAAAGAGGTCTGCGTCAGACTACAACTACTTAGCACGAATTACTCGAGGGTTCACCCGGGGCAAGGGTGTGAGGCCTGGTACATGTACATGTGTATGGTGGCAGATCTTCTTGCTGCGTAGATAAAAAATTATCTCGTTATCAAAGGTAAACAATACAGAGTAATATGCTTGAAGCGGTCACGTTTAGGAGGAGAAAGCGACTACAGTCCGTTCATTGGAAACTGGCACCCTAACGTGTTGGTGTCTCCCACACATAGTTGTAGATATCGTAAAAACAACAGTACATCCTGCATTCTATGACCTGTGCAATTGATCCTTGCCACATTTGAGGCCAGTAAAGCCCAAGCACAGGGAAATAGAAATTCAGCCAGGTTTTGCAAAATTAGGACAGGTATGCCATGGGGAAAGGTATTGAGAAGCAGATCCCAAACCCAGATTTTTGAGATTTAAAGTGGGTTTTTGATCCCCAATTCGGCCCAAATCGGACTGTCAAAAGCCAGCGGGACAGTTTCCGATGAATGGACTGTAGACGTTAGACGCGATTTACGACCAGAATTCTCGCTGACGGGACAACGTGTCACACGTTCTTCCATCGTCCATCATGACTAGACACATACTCCCAAAACGGATGCCATTGGATCATGCGACCCCTGTGCAGAATGAACAGTTTTTGTCTTTTATCCTTCGTCACGCAAATAAGAGTTAGTTGAACACTTACAGCAAAGTCTAATGATCTGCCAATGTACAATGTATGCCCTGCCCTTATGATCATAAATAGAAACAGTAAAAAGCTAATGAGCTCTCGGTTCAGCTGCCTCTACACCACTGCCACACCCACATTTTAAAGCCACTATCATTAGTTATCTCTGCTCTCTGCCCTTCCTCTCCTCTGTGTCTCTCTTTGTCTCTATCTCTCTCTCTCTCTCTCTCTCTCTCTCTCTCTCTCTCTCTCTCTCTCTCTCTCTCTCTCTCTCTCTCTCTCTCTCTCTCTCTCTCTCTCTCTCTCTCTCTCTCTCTCTCTCTCTCTCTCTCTCTCTCTCTCTCTCTCTCTCTCTCTCTCTCTCTCTCTCTCTCTCTCTCTCTCTCTCTCTCTCTCTCTCTCTCTCTCTCTCTCTCTCTCTCTCTCTCTCTCACTCACTCACTCACTCACTTTCTCTCTATCTCTCTCTCTCTCTCTCTCTCTCTCTCTCTCTCTCTCTCTCTCTCTCTCTCTCTCTCTCTCTCTCTCTCTCTCTCTCTCTCTCTCTCTCTCTCTCTCTCTCTCTGTCTCTCTCTCTCTCTCTGTCTCTCTCTGTCTCTCTCCCTTTCTATCTGATGCTTGAAGTACGTGTACTGTGCAGCGATGCCAGTCAGTGACTTTGCCAAACTGATTAACCTCTCAGCATTCCAGAGCCGCCTTTGAGTGCTCATTGCTCGAACACTGGCTGGTTACTTGTAGGCACTCACAACGTAGGCAACGGACTATCATAACTATGTCTGGCTTCTAGTGGAAGTAGATCAGCGGATGGCGCAGATAATCAGATAACCACCAGGTGTGCAAACGATGTCCTTTACGCCTGCGTGTCACACTTTTCCCAGGCATGCTAAATGATGAGATTGGTGTCACCGGACAAAGCCAGAAACGATTGCACGAAGACTGACTCAGAGATCATGCACATGTACACTGTTCTTGTCACCCGTGATTTTGATAGCACTGGTATTTTCTACGCTCTGATCCTCGACAGTTATCCTCTCGGAACGACACACACACACACACACACACACACACACACACACACACACACACACACACACACACACACACACACACACACACACACACACACACACATACTGCACCCTTTCCACCACAAGCGTATCCCAGACACAGGGTTGCCATGATAATAACCGCGTGCATGACAGAAACTGTGAAAACGTAGAATGGCCCCTTGTCGTACAGGACAAACGCATCGCTCCAGACTGATTTCGAGGCGACCCTGTGAGAGAGCAGCTCAGCAAAAGATCTCTGGGGTTTAAAACATGCATACCGGAGTATACAATCTCCGGTGTGTACATATACAGTGCTGACAACTGAAATCCGACCCCATGAGCGGTGCGCTCACATCGCACCCGAAATAGAGGCCGCTAGAAAGTGAACGCGCCGCCCAGGCCTGCAGGCGCTCGGATTTCAGTTGCCAGCACTGTATTTCTAAGTTTAAACGACGAGATCAGCACAAACACAAGCACATAGACGCGCTCTCTTACTTTGCTATGAATCCAGTGAGATGAACAGGAACGGCACACCATCGTCCCAGTCAACAGTCGTATCAGCCAGCACGATTCCGGGGCACGTGTGAACACAAAGAGGAAAACGCCACAAAGATGCACGTTCTGCTGCAGTATATGTACGTGAACCCCAGTCGCAGGTAATAATTGAATTTCCTTCGTCTCATGGACAAGACTCGGCTGCAAGGATGAAGCCTCACAGAACAATAAGAACAATGGGCGTGCATCTCCCTTGCACGTCGTGTCTCCACCCGCGGCCCTAGTGGCGTACATGCAGGGCTGGTGTAAATTGAAAGAAAAGACAAGCCCTTCCACCATCCGTGCTTCACATTGCGGGATTGTTCCCTTCAACGTCATGCTCAAAATTGCTATCTATTCTAATAGCCCTCTCTGTTCAACATGTGAATGAGTATGAACCGAATCTAGGAAATACATGAGCGAGTCGTTGGAACTGCAGGTTGCAACTCACCCCGGATACAGCTGCGGAGCCGAAGCAAAGCAGAACAGCCAGTCCGATCATCAACGACGCGCGCGCCATCGTGGTAACCTTCAGCAAGAACAGCGAACTAACTTGCAACTGCTGTCGCGTCGAAAGGAGATCGCCGAGTACAATCAAGAGTATTTCTGTGAGCTTATATACTCTTGGTAGTTCAGTCCGAGCCCAGTCGTGGTCCCAGCTACAGCGAGACACGGGCACTTGTCTATGTTGTTATATCCTGAATTGCAACGACAGTGTCTTACTGAGCCGCATGATCGCCTACCCCCCCCCAGGAGCTGCATCCCTAATACAGTACTATCAAGGGTATAATAACCTCTGGGAGGTTACATGTACTGTATGACTTGTATTCTTGGTCCAATGCGGAAACGGGGGAAACATGATGATGATGTGATGTTTCTCGACGTTGTCGGCGCTATTCTGGACACATAGTCCAATGTCCGAGGACTTGACGATCAAATAGGCGATTTCGGTGTGCTCTTCGAAGTCGTGAGGAGGGGGGGGGGGGGTAGGATACCTTGTCGTCTCATCGAGCCACACGTTGGAAGGCTGTTGGAGTGCGCATCGAAGATGTGCTAGGGCTGCTAGCCAGTTAGTTGTAGAACGTCATTACCCACGTGCACAGGCGCTTTTTGGCTGCATCATATTGCCCGGGTCGAGCTCTTGTCGGCGGGATCTGCGCCAACTACAGAAGGTACAATTCCAGTTTAAAGGGGAAGTATACCCTAAAATCAAATTTTCACCAGTTGTAGTCTTCGGGGTGCTGAGTCGAATGGTCTTGGTCCGAGGAAGCTGAGACGCTCCCTTCCTACTTGAATCCCAATCGAACTCGCGCACTTCCACCGAAACTGGGTGACTGCGCCCTACGAGATGGGGATTTGTATGCAAAATGTCACTAAAAGCACCATTTCGTTCTTATAAAAGCACGGATGACCGCGATTGGCCCATATGTTGTAGTCTTTTGGACGCTGAGTGGACTGGTTTTGGTCCGAAAAGGCTGCGATGCAGCGTTCCTCCTTTATTCCCAATCGAACATGGTTGAACAAGCGGTCACGTGTTCCTGCGTACACCAGTCACCTGGTCACCGTGCCTGCAGGGTACAACTTACTAGCCTGTTTGACCTTTTTTGGGTGCAGTCCTGTCACTCGAGTTGAACTCGAGTTGAACCTTGGTGTGAAAGTTGTCGCCTGCTGGCGTGGTGACCAGGTGATTTGGGCACCCAGGAGCACGTGACCGCTTCTTCAACCATGTTCGATTGGGAATAAAGGAGGAACGCTGCATCGCAGCCTTTGCGGACCAAAACCAGTCGACTCAGCGTCCAAAGGACTACAACATATGGGCCAATCGCGGTCATCCGTGCTTTTATAAGAACGAAATGGCGCTTTTAGTGACATTTTGCATACAAATCCCCATCTAGTAGGGCGCAGTCACCCAGTTTCGGTGGAAGTGCGCGAGTTCGATTGGGATTCAAGTAGGAAGGGAGCGTCGCAACCATTCGACTCAGCACCCCGAAGACTACAACTGGTGAAAATTTGATTTTAGGGTATACTTCCCCTTTAACGGCTATGTCATTGTGCTACCGATTTCACGTCTGTACTCTTGCCCACACGTGTCAGCTCGGGTCAAACGTCACGTGGTAGATCTGCCAACCAGATACACAATGCAAATGTACTTTAAACCCGGGTGTCACTGTACTTCAGAAGTAGTTGAAAAGGACCATAGATTTAAATTTTCAATTGGTTTGACTATCGTCTACTCTATTGACTTCTTGTCCTTCATATTCGTTTTTTCGCATCAAGCACCACACACCACAACTGCGCTCGACACATTGCCACAGCACACCATCACTGGCATCGACAACCCGACACTTCCGACATTTTTCACATTCGCTGGGTTTTCTTGCCCGTAACAGAAGCTTTTCGAGACTCGAAATGAAAAATTAGATAAAAAACAATCCTGGACTGCCTAAATGGTGTAGGTGAAGAGAAGGCTAAATGCAAACTCCGACAGTGGAAGCCGGTGGTACCTGATGTCTGCTGTTCCACTGAGCTCGTCTTGGAGGGGGCAGTGATCATCTCCTCTCCGTCGTCACCTTCTCTCTGCCTCTTCAAGCGAAGTCTGCGCACACACTCCCAGACTACAATGGTTATGTAGATGAGTTGTCTGGTGGTGGAGTTTTATCATCGCATGACGTGGGACTCGAACCCGGAAATTCTAACGGCACCGGATTCGAAGTTCTATGTTTATGTTTATGTACACAAACTTACTTTGCTCTGGAAACAGCACACGAGCACTCGACCAGCTCCCAGTAACCCAGAAAAACTTGTAACTACATGTACTTGTGAGGTGTCATGAAAACTACACTCTCAGGCGCCCGGCCCACACCCCGGGGAAAGAGGAGAAACATGCGTGATGATCAATTCAGTAATCGACTCTACTACAGTGCATGTACTGTCTGTAGTAATAATAATAATAATAATAATAATTTGGAAAGGATTGGGAGAACTTCAAATTCAAAGTATCAGTCGGGGAAGTGAACTGCCTGAAAAGAGAAAAAAACGCCAGACCCACCAGGACTCGAACCTGGGACCCTGCTTGTCATGAGCAATGCTCTAACCACTGAGCTATGGGACCAGGCTGAACCTAGAGGGCGCTGACAAGTTTTTCACTCCAAAGGCAGCTCACAACACGTGCCACACATACTGATGGCACTTGGGTCTTTTTCCCTCCCCCAGGGGACCAACCACGGTCAGTTTCTGGAAACTACCAGAGGTGAAAGAAAGTGATTAAATTTGGAAAGGATTGGGAGAACTTCAAATTCAAAGTATCAGTCGGGGAAGTGAACTGCCTGAAAAGAGAAAAAAACGCCAGACCCACCAGGACTCGAACCTGGGACCCTGCTTGTCATGAGCAATGCTCTAACCACTGAGCTATGGGACCAGGCTGAACCTAGAGGGCGCTGACAAGTTTTTCACTCCAAAGGCAGCTCACAACACGTGCCACACATACTGATGGCACTTGGGTCTTTTTCCCTCCCCCAGGGGACCAACCACGGTCAGTTTCTGGAAACTACCAGAGGTGAAAGAAAGTGATTAAATTTGGAAAGGATTGGGAGAACTTCAAATTCAAAGTATCAGTCGGGGAAGTGAACTGCCTGAAAAGAGAAAAAAACGCCAGACCCACCAGGACTCGAACCTGGGACCCTGCTTGTCATGAGCAATGCTCTAACCACTGAGCTATGGGACCAGGCTGAACCTAGAGGGCGCTGACAAGTTTTTCACTCCAAAGGCAGCTCACAACACGTGCCACACATACTGATGGCACTTGGGTCTTTTTCCCTCCCCCAGGGGACCAACCACGGTCAGTTTCTGGAAACTACCAGAGGTGAAAGAAAGTGATTAAATTTGGAAAGGATTGGGAGAACTTCAAATTCAAAGTATCAGTCGGGAGTGAAAAACTTGTCAGCGCCCTCTAGGTTCAGCCTGGTCCCATAGCTCAGTGGTTAGAGCATTGCTCATGACAAGCAGGGTCCCAGGTTCGAGTCCTGGTGGGTCTGGCGTTTTTTTTTCTCTTTTCAGGCAGTTCACTTCCCCGACTGATACTTTGAATTTGAAGTTCTCCCAATCCTTTCCAAATTTAATCACTTTCTTTCACCTCTGGTAGTTTCCAGAAACTGACCGTGGTTGGTCCCCTGGGGGAGGGAAAAAGACCCAAGTGCCATCAGTATGTGTGGCACGTGTTGTGAGCTGCCTTTGGAGTGAAAAACTTGTCAGCGCCCTCTAGGTTCAGCCTGGTCCCATAGCTCAGTGGTTAGAGCATTGCTCATGACAAGCAGGGTCCCAGGTTCGAGTCCTGGTGGGTCTGGCGTTTTTTTCTCTTTTCAGGCAGTTCACTTCCCCGACTGATACTTTGAATTTGAAGTTCTCCCAATCCTTTCCAAATTTAATCACTTTCTTTCACCTCTGGTAGTTTCCAGAAACTGACCGTGGTTGGTCCCCTGGGGGAGGGAAAAAGACCCAAGTGCCATCAGTATGTGTGGCACGTGTTGTGAGCTGCCTTTGGAGTGAAAAACTTGTCAGCGCCCTCTAGGTTCAGCCTGGTCCCATAGCTCAGTGGTTAGAGCATTGCTCATGACAAGCAGGGTCCCAGGTTCGAGTCCTGGTGGGTCTGGCGTTTTTTTCTCTTTTCAGGCAGTTCACTTCCCCGACTGATACTTTGAATAATAATAATAATAATAATAATACCACAGCACGCGTAATAATATAATTATGTGGGTATAATTATACGTTCCGCTTCTGTCCTATCTCCTATGATCAAATTCCATTATCAAGGTAATTATTAACACGGCGCACTGATGACCTGTGACGCCAGATCATGGATTGTCGGCCAGATTTCTCCATGTAGGCTTGTCCAGAGCGATGGCCCTCACATTCCCCAGCTGACTGCTTCGCTTCAAGTCGATGTTCCTCCTCTGTAAGTCGCTTGTGATTACCAAGAGCCATTACGGTCTCACGGGAGCTTACATTTACATGTATTAGTTTGACAGCATGAAACAAGGTGGAGGACACTGTAT